CAACCAATATGTCTGTTGGAAAATGGACGGACCAGAATTCTTGTAGAAATTACCAAATAACTCTGATTAATTTCTTCCTGTTAAATTTACCAAATTTTCTGGTTAATAATATTAAACTCCCCAGCACCAAGTCGTCTAAAATTTTTTCCATTTGATCTCAAAAGTCTGTTTAATATTTTGAATTCCAGCAAGATTATTGGATAAATTCAATTCAGATTATTGAATAAATTATTTTAAATTCAGTTTGTTAGAAATTAAACTGATGAACAGTGATGCAAGAAGAGGATGCAACTCAAACACATGCAATCAGAGAGCTAGCGTCCTCTTTCTGGCACTACTGCTCGTAAGAGAAAAAAAATATACTTTGGATTTAATGTTAATACTAGTTCTTTATATACATTTCATGGCAAATATTGAATACGAGTTAAGTTAAGAGTAGCTTGCCCGCCTAGCGGCAAGCAAAAAAATTAATGTAACAAGAAATTTTATAAATCCAACCAGAAAATACTAACCAAATGTTTATAGTAAAATCTATTAAACGTTTTAGTTATAAAAAATCGAGTCTTATCATGATAACTAGAAATTCTTGTTTGATTTAACCAAAATGCCTTCAATCATATACGTCTTGTTGGTACAATCAAACGATTTTTCTCAGTGTGCCAATCGTGACAAAAATACCTCATCTCCGTGTTGGTAGCTTGAAAAAAAAATTTTACCTCAGGCCAGTAATAAAATCAAATTATGCGATATTACGGAGAAAACCTTGTTGAGATAGAAAAACTGGCCTTGGATTTTTCTCTCCCTTTTGCAAATACGGTATGTACATCATGGGAGACACGCCGATACACTACATTACCGCGGACAATCGTGAAAACCTCCTACGCTTTTCGCATGACGATCGCCTATTTAGATACGTCCTCATTGTGCGGGAGATAGAAGCGACGTGTCACACGTTAAAACCGGAAACCGCGGGACACTGGATACGTCAACGTCTATGACTTGAAAATGTAACATGAATATACGATCCTATATGTGTGCTCGCACAAGTATTCTTATACTCGCAAGTTGATCGCGATATACATCACTCTTGTGATTAAAAGCGGAAACTTCCGGTGAAACAAACGCGCCCTTTAGTGCCACATTTTTAACACGATGATAGCTGTTATTCCATTCACAAAGCAACGTTCTTTCGCTCCAATTGTCGCACAGCCGAATCTATTCATTCGTCTTTACGTCTTTACGTGCGATTTATTCGACGAAGTATTGATTCCTTCGATTTCGACTCATCATGAGAATATGTTGATGCGCGAGCATACAAGATTCACGTGGGCAATTTAATTAAAGTAATCTGTTTTTTAATTACTAGGCACTTTGCTTTTAACTGCAATTGCGAACCAGTATTTATCCTCAGTATTGTTCTACTGATGAAATTACTGATTTAAAAAAATGAATATATTCCGTAAAGCCAGAGAAAGATCTGATCTAACAGGCTAAAAGGAATAATAAAAAATTTCCAGAGAATATCTACAGATTGATGGACACTCAATATTCCGATCCCTTTTTCTACCGCTGATAAATTCTATTTTTCTCCAATCCATTTAACGAACCATCGAGCTAACGATTCATTACACGCACCAGACCGGTATTCTTATAAAAGTCACGCGTTTAATTAATAGCTTTTGGCTTCCTTAATTGGCTAAGCAAGTTGCATACCGCTATCATCGACAAGGCAACGTTATGCCGTTTCGAGTGCTCGAGTTAAATAGTGAATCAGCAGGCGATACGATAATGCGTCATAGAATTCATTGGTTACAATTAGCAGCTACTTCGGTGATAAACGGAGAGAAGAAGAGACCTGTCGGCGAAATGCTTGGCCTCACGCGAGAACATTATTTACCTCGGACGAACGGAAGCTGCGGAAGTAATTGCAAGCAAAACGTGAAATATGTATCAGGGAAAACTGCATCTTAAATTTTACGTCATTAATCTACCCACAATTTAATCAATATATGTATTAATTAATTTCGATAATTAATCATGTGGCTAATATAATCAATTAGCTATGCCCCACGAATTAATTCATTCCACGTGAATTGTAATGAACTATCATAATTTCTGCAAGTTTGATTTCTGGATCGAAAACGCAAGCACAGAATTTCCTTGAATTATGGAGACTAATTTTCCGCAACATCAAGAGAGCACTTTTCGAAAAAAAGAAAAATTATATTCTAGTTTTTAAGTCTCATCAAGGGATGAACTTTTACTGACAATACATCTTACGTCGGAGAAGTAAGAGACGGATACCGATTCTCCTCAATGTGATCCGTTCTATGCAAATTTTCGGATCTGTCGCGATCGCTGTGACACTTATTTGCGATTAAAACCGGTGGGAATCGGTGAGCATTAAGTAACGTGATCCACGAGGAACGGCTTCTCCCTATCAGCCTCGGGGCTTCCAATCAGTTTGACACATCAAGTACACTCGATTCAGCACCAATGACAATGTAACTTTTTGCTGCTGGCTTATCGAAAACTCGTTTTTTTCAATTCATTTATTTAATTTATTCATTTTATATATGCAATAATTCATGTTTATCATACAGATAACTTTCAATTTCCACAAATTTCTCGCTCAATTTTAAATTGATTGGAAAAAATGGATTACTCGCTTTTTAATAGCCGTAACTGCAGAAATGTACGTAAAAATTAATGGAATGTAACTTTAATGAATTAACGAGCCTGGTCCGTTTAGGCAATTGGTCTGCACTCGCATAATTCGCAGTTTTAACTGTAATTTCGCGAGAATGTGAATATGTTTCATCAGTCGCGCGGTTAATAATAGCGTCCACGTTTACTGGAAAGTATGCAGCATGTATTTACTTATTGCAGGATAAAATTGGAGGCAATGAGAGATAGCTGTGCGGATTCCGTCGCGCGGACTAATGCCTCTTGGCCGTTTACTTTCTTTCCGTTTTTTTTCTTTTTTTGTTAATTTTCCTCGACTCGTCTTTATCCTCGGCATTGATTGATACTACGATGTTGCCAGGCAACGTCTCGAACCAGACTTCTGTGTACACTGTGCCGATATAGAATTACGCGAGAGCCAGTTCGAACTCCCTTGGCAACGAGTTACGTTCCATTGTGCTGTATCATCAATTCTTTAATTCGACACAAGACGCCGGATGAAAATTCTTCAACGCTTCCGCCTGTGAAAAGCGTTCTAAGAAAGGCTTTACCTTGATTAATTCGCGAAAAATTAAATAAAATTTTAAAAATTACTGCACTGTCAATATACATATTTAAAATGTGATATGTTTCCTTTTGAATGCGTATTTAATAATTTATTAATATTAAAACGTAAGAATAATAAAAGTAAAAATAATATCTGCTTGCTGTTGTATATTTTAGTAATTTAATTATTTTCTTCTATTGCTTTCTCTCTATATATAGTTTTTTTTTTCGAAACATATATGGAATAATATATTGAGAGCATCAGATACTTTTTGCACGATGTCAAAAGTAGAGTATCCCTGCATTAAAGTTAGCAATGGAGGGTGGGTTCAGGATGTGCGGCGATCGATTGCCAGCTGGCATGGAACCACGTGACGGGTGCGGTGTTGGTGACGTCACGAAACGACCGCCTCATACAATTCACCCTCGTGATAAACTGATTGTGAGATCGCTGATTCATTTATTGTAATTATCTCATATTAATTCTTGATAGAAACGCATTCTTCTTCGTTTCTCTTATTATGTTAATTTTACATATAAATTGTAATTAATTTTTTATATTCACATGTAACAAACTTGAGAATTTACGGATGGAAAATATTATTAGTATTTTCAGTTAAAATTTTTTCAATTAAAATTCTCTAAATTATTGCATTAATTATTTCATAATATTAATTTTTTTCTCTTCATTGATCATTTTCAGTAAAAATAACTTTCTATACACAAAGACACTCTATTTTGTGAAACTACAATATCTTTTAATGGATGTCTAATGGACTGTCTTTTTGATGTTTTTTTGTAACATGAAACTATCTAATCCATAAATATATTACTTTAACACATTAAATAAATTTATTAACAAAAAGACATTATAAATAAATATATGAATTAATTTTCATATTTATTTCTCTCAATCTGCATTAAATCTACTTTCTTTATTTGTTAGTAAAATCTAGAAAAACAATGCGTTCGAAAAAGCTGTGCCTGTAATGCGATACTTAATTTACTTCTCTCATCAATCAAATCATAACTTGAGCTTGACAGCTTCTACCATCTTAACTTTAACCTTACATCACTCGATGGCTGAATTACCCTTGCTCTATTGAAGCCAAACCACTGCAGTCTTACATATTTATACGCAGTTATTGCCCGCTGTCCCACTCACTTGTAAACGTCTTACACTTCGACAATAATAACTTGGGATTTATCACAATGCTCAATTTTTTAAATGCACGTTTTAAATGCAGTATTGTAATTAATGAATATTTAAGCAAAAATTTGAGATATTTTCAAGAATTTGAAAAAGTTTTTCGACATATGAAAAGTTTCTTAATATTTAATAATATTTAAATATCTTTTTTTTTTACTTTAGATCTAAATAGAATAATATTTGAAATGGCAATCATAATCTCATAGATTATGTACTTGTTCTATTATCTAATTCTTGAGATGTAAATTTATTTGGAGCAAGTTCAAGCAGTCTCTTTAATTTATGCACATACATGCAAAGAGATGATTTAAAACGAGGACAATCTACTTTTCACTTGAAATATCAGGGCCAGTCTTGGAAAAGCTTGGCCAAGTTCATAACAGAGCATGTCGTTGGAATATCTAAAGTTACATTTGATCTTGAAGAACAGTGATTTATATGCAGATTTCATTCCAAAAGTTTTCCGATACTGCGACGATCTCTTTAACATGTACAAAGAGGATTTTGCTTCTAAAGTTCGCCTGTACTTAGCGATCGCCGTTTTTCTTGATTGTTGCAGGTTTTCTATCATGGGACAAGGACAGTTGTCACGTAGATCTGGAGAAAGAACTATTGGCCTTAGTAGCACAAGCCCCCGAAGGCGAAGAAGCCAGAAATGGTAATTACAAAAACATTTACTTTATTTTAATTTATTATTATTATAATATAAAATATATACGTCATTATTCATTATTTCGTATCTTAATATTTTATATTTAATATAATTCGTATTAGGAACTGATCGAATGGGATTTTCTAGGTGAAAGATTGATTCAATATGCCACCGAGAATCTCGTAACGGAAGTTCTTATTCACCCGCAGACAAATACATTGTTACAATGTATTCGCAATCTCCTTGCAAGCTTCACGAAACATCGGCACATTATACACGCTGGATACACTTTCGGCGGTAATGGTTCCTGGATATTACAGGTATACTTCAAAGAATTATGTTATACACAATTCAAGAAAAACATTATAATTAATCTTCTAATTAATATTGTAAAAGTTTTTCGAAATATTCGGTAGTAAGCTTGAATTAAAAATATGTTCAATAATTGTTCAGGATGGAACCTTCAGTCTCGCAGATTTTCTGGATGCATTCAGCGAACATGAAGTGCAGAGAGTCCTTCGTGCCTACGAGAATAGCGTTACCGTAGATATACATTGTGCGGGTATCGGTGACTGGACGACAAGTCGTTTATCGAAGGAGGCTTGTTGCAGGTATGTATCGTTTCCCTTTTGCTCGAAAGCAATTTTAATTCATTGCACAATTGGCTCATGAGTTTCTAAAAATATAACGTTTTATGAAATTTAACAATAAAAATTGTTTTTCAATATAAATAAATTTTAATTTTTTATGCGTACGTGAAAGAGTTCTCTCTCTCTCTCTCTCTCTCTCTCTCTCTCTCTCTTTCTTTTCCTAAAAAATACTACCCTACTCTGTTCCTCATTGTTTATATATTTTTCTTATTTACAGATTTTGCAGAGTCAGAGTGAATCCCGACGATGTTCTTACAGCTGGCATGCCGGCTATTACTAGTTTCACAAATTATATAGGACAGTATCTCGTGCCGCAAACGCTGGACCAGCTCATGGAACCGTCGGACGTCGTCGGAAATATTAGATTTAGCCATCCGACCTTATACGTCTTCCCCGGTGGGCAAGGTGATGCCGCACTTTTCGGTATAAATGGTTTCAACATGCTCGTTGACGGCGGCTTCGCCAGAAAAGCCTGCTTCTGGGACTTCACTAGGCATCTAGACCGATTGGATGCAGTTCTAGTCACTAGGATAAATAATAGCAACATTGGCGGCATGTTTAGCGTCCTCCGCAAGAAGAAGGAATTACATGTCTACCCTCAAATCGGCCATTTCTTCTGTAACTTAGTCGTAAGTAACCATCAATTCTCAATGTTTAATTTTATCTAGAATTTCTATCAATATTTGTAACAATTAAAACATTTAAAATAATAATTGAATACTTTTCTAATAATTATTGACATTCCGCTACACTTTCTTAACAATATCTATTACGTTAAGTACAGATACATATAAAAATTATACAAAATACAGGAAAGAAGACAATCAAATTCACCTGATGGCGATAAGGATATTGATCCCCTCATCCTCAATCTTACCGATATCGGTCAGGAGATGGTGCTGAATCTTCGGCATATCAATCTCCGTGCTCATCCTTGCTACAGAGATTCCGAACCGATTAATCTCTATCACAAAGTAGGCCACGGCACGCTGGACATGTACGTGCTTAGTCCAAGCAAAGACAGTCGCGAAGTGCGCGAGTTTCTATCCAAGTGGCATGCGTCGGATTCGAAGCTGTTTGCCGGTTCTCACAAGAAGGACTCGAATAATCTCACATTCCCGATTCAGAATCTCGTGTCGATATGCGCGCTCCTAGTTTGGCAGCCGGCTAATCCCGAGGATAATATCACGCGAATTCTCTTTCCCGGCAGCACGCCACAGCATAAAATTTTCGAAGGTTTTGAACGACTCAAGCATTTAGATTTTCTGAAGCACCCAGTATGTTCAGCAAAAACATTATCGCCGTCAACATCTCTGGCAACGCTCAGAGACAAACCGATTAAGAAATTTGGCCTTATCGAGAAGGAATCGAAGAAAATTTCAGAGCCAAAGAAAGAGAAAAGAGAACCATCGGAGCCCAAGTCTATTAAGCCTGCGGATGAAACAATTTCTAAAACAACTCCTCAATCGACGCCGATTATTCCCACGAGTAAACTAAAGACCGAAACGAAGATGAAAAAAGTCGCGGAAAATAAGAAGATTGAAACTGAGGCAAAGGAAAGCAAGAAAATTGAGAAAGAATTAAAAGATGTGAAAAAGGAGTCAAAAAAGGAGCCGATTAAAGTGGAGAAACGGGAGGATGAAATAAAAAAAGGTGATTTAATTAAACTGGAATCCGATAAGACTGCATCCAAGGAAATTAAGGAATATAAAGTCAAGCCTGAGCCAAAGAAGAAAGAAGCAAAGGAAAGCAAGATAAAGACCGAGTTGAAAAAGAGCGAAGTAACTCCGAAGCCAAAGTCGAGTGAGAAAAGAGCTAAACCTTCTGGCACAGAGAAGAAAGATGCTGTAAAGTCTTCCCCTACGACGCCGAAGAAGACCTTGAACGGTACCGCCACAAGGACGGAGATATCGAAAGCTGCGCCAAAGACAAAACTAGCGTCCAAAGCCATGCCCAGTCTTCCAGCCAAAAGCGCCAAGGAAGCTAATAATAGAAAAGTGGTGGAACAAAAAAAATCCGAAGTCGAGAAGTCTGCCGTAAGAGATGTCGCGGCTCCTGCTGTTAAAGTATCCGCGAAACCTAAACCAACGGATAGAAAACCGATCAGTCGTCGCACGAAACCGGTTAGTCCTAGCAAAGCTCGTATGCCAGGCAGTCCAGCAAAATCTACTCGTAGCACGCCGACCACTTCCGTGAAATCTGATAAAGATGGTGTCATTCGTAAAGTAAAGGGCGACAAAGGCACCACCGATTCGTCCACGGTTTCTACTCCGTCTGGAATAGAACCGGAATCTGTAAAGCCAATTGATAAAAGTTTAATCGAGCAATCTGAAGATATGTCGTTGGATTCTATAGAAAGTAAAGTGTTGGCCGATCTCAAAGAAGAACGAGAGGTCGTTGAGGAAATTGAAGCTGTTCTACAAAAAGCAGAGAGGATTGAAGAGATTCGGAAAGACGATCGTTTTGAGGGAGACGATGAAATTACAGCCGAGGCCATAGATAAAAAAGAAGAGGATATTACGGAAGAGGATGTTACTGCCGAAATTGAGGACATGCCTAAAAAAGAAGGTTCCAGAAAAGAAAGCCAGGAATTGACTGAAGAAGACGAGTACCTCATCGTAGAGAAGGAAGAAGTCTATACTGAGGACTCGGCTCAAAGCGGCGAAGGCGAACAGAAACATGTTCTTGACGACCGAGTCGAAAAAGGAAGAGCCAGAAAAGAAAGAAGGAGACAGTAAGGGAAAAAGGTCAAAGAAGAACAAAGGAAAAAAAAAAAGAAGAAAAAAAAAAAAAAGAAAAAAAAATTGATGAAATCGCGGAGAAAGAGGAGATTGCTGGGCTGTCTTCGGAACATAAGGAACAATTACAAAAAGAGGTGAAAGAAATAATAGCTTCCGCTGCTGAAATCGTGCAGAAAGCCGAAGAGAAAGATGATTCCGCTAAAAAGGACAGCGAGGACATTACAAAAGAACCATCTAGTCTGAGTCCAGACAAATTGGATTCGTCAGAAAAAAAGACTGATACAGATGTAAAGCCGGACGTCGATCAAAAGGAGCATATTCTTGAGAAGAGGGAAGAATCTCAAGAACGAATCTCAACGATAGAATCGGGAGCCACTACAACCGCTCCAACTTTGCCTGAAGATGAACGAATACCGTTGGATGAAATAAAAGAGGATATCGATGAGAAACACGTTATCGAAGAAGTGAAAGAGAAGGACGCTCCTATGAAGTTGAAGGAAGAGGTAGTTCCGGAAACTGTTTCCGTGAAACCGGAGGTCAAAGTTTTTGATGTTCGCCAAGCGATGCAGAATCTGCAAAGAGACATCGTCAAGACGCCCGACGAAGTCGCCGATCTGCCAGTTCACGAGGAAGTCGATCCTAAACTTTATAGAATGGAAGATTTTGAGAAGGGAAAAGAGGAAAAACCGTCACCGACTACACAAGAAATTAAAGAGCTACCTACACCACCTGTAAAGGAGCAAAAAGGTGTCTTCAGTTTCTTCGGCAAAGTGGCAGATAAGTTTGAAAAGGGTATTGATAAATTGACTAAAAAGTCGAAGAAAGAATCCGATAAGGATTCCGACGAGAAATCCTCTTCGAAATCCAGTTCTCCGAAGGAAGCAAAACTTCAAGAAAAAACGCTCTTTGAAGAGGTCGATGTAGAAAAAATGTTCCCTAAAGTCGGCAAGCCCGCTGACAAACCTGAGATATTTGAAGAAGTGAAACCTACGATTGTCGATGTGAAAACGGCTGCCATTAAAGATACTGCGGCATTCATACAAGAGGAAATATTTGATGCGCAGAAAAAAAGTGTATCTGATATTGAAGAAAAGCTTTCGATTGAAAAAAAATTGGAAGATATTAAAAAAGCAGAAGCTGAAATCGAAGAAGCATTGTTCGCGAAGGATGTATCGCCGAAACCAGTGGACGATAAAGAGATTGCTAAGGAAATTGAACTTCTGAAGGAAGAAGATATAGGAGAGGATGCTGAAGAAGTAAAGGCTCTTCTGGAAGAAGCCTCTAAGAAATTTAAAACTGTGAAGGACAGTTTAAGAGATTCGTTGGAATCTTTAGAGGAAAAAGTTAAAGAAGAAGAGATGCAACATGACGTATCACCTACTTTGAAGGATATTGTAAAGGATACCTTGGAAGGGGTGGCTGAAAAATTAGAAGAGATAAAACCGCATATCGAGAGCTCACTCGACATAAAAGAACCGGAGAAAGTTAAGTTTGCTATACCAAAGGATGAAGAATTCGAAGAGGAGTATGAAGAAGAACCAGAAGGACCATATAGAGATATGAAGGAAGCCGTTAGGGATGTCGGAGAGGTTCTCGCAGGTACTGCTGGAATCGATCTCGAAGATAAACCTAAGGATGTTATAGAAATTGTAAAGAAAGTTGCTGAAGTTCTTAAGGAAGATGATTTTCTTTCTGATAAGACATTATTCGATCAAGCTTCTAAAAAGGAAGAGATCTCGTCAATTCCAGATAGAAAACCATCGAAAGAAGAAATTTCGACAGAAAGAAAACTCTCGATTCCAAGCGAAAAAGTAACTCAAGAGAAAGATACTAAATTGAAAGAAGACGAATCTAAACTTGCTTATGAGGATATTGTGACATCGAAGAAGATTGATGTCGCCGAAGTATTTCCGGTTCACGAAAAGGCTGAAGAACTGATCGAAAAATCTGACAAACTTTTGGTATCATCTGAGAAACCCGATGCTGTCGAAGTTAAGGAAGAACCTTGCGTGAAAATGTTTAAAAAACAAGATGATATGGTTACTTCGCCTATGAAAGATGTCACAAAAGATAAGAAAGATGTTCAAGAAATATGTGCAGAAATGTTGAAAGATGATATTTGTGATCAACATAAAAAATTAGCCGTCGACGATACAAGTCAAGTAGACGTGATGCAGGCTGGCATTGAGAGTATATGCGTGAAAGAAATGGCGAAACGGCCGTCTTTTGAAGATAAACTGGAAAGCGGCATAGAACATCCTGTAATAAGCTTCGAACAAAAAGTTTCGCCGGCAAAGGCAGAAATAGTAATGGTGACTCCTGGTTCTACGCCTACTTCACCGAAATTTAGCGCAGATAAAATATATGATAAGGAATTGGAGATCGGCCTTCAGGAATTACCTAAACTGCCAGATGATATTAAACAAGTTCTCAGCAAGGAAGCACCTGTCGAGGAAGTCATTGAGGAACTGATTATTACAAAAAAGAAAAGGATTACTATCGAAGTGATCGAATACATTACCGTGGTGAAGCGTATCCCGAGGGAACGTGTGATTTACATTATCGAGGAGATTATCGTAAAGAAGGGACTATCCAGAGAAAGCGTGGTGGATGACCCTGAAATTCTAAAGTTAAAAGAAGATATTACGCCTGAAAAAAGAATGGAAGTTGAAGATTATATTGTTAACGAATATATTATCAAAGAGAAGCGAATTACTATAGAAATCATCGAGGAAATCTCGATTAAGAAAATCGTGCCTAAGAAAATCGTCATCGAAATTATCGAGGAGATTATCGTCAAGAGAAAGATTGCTAGGCACATGGTACTGGATATTCCAGAAGAAGTGCTATCAGAAATAATTAAAGAGGAATCACCAGAAGAATCACCAGAAGAATCAGCAGAGGAGCAAATAACACCAAAAATAGACATAACTGCGAAACGAGAGTCAATTGCTGAGGTTTCTACTGCTCCAATTGAAGTAGAAGAACCAATTATACTTCAAAAGCGTGAGGAGATTGAAGAATTCGTCGTTAACGAATATATCATTAAGGAGAAAAAGATTACTGCATCGATAATTGACGAAATTTCTGCTAAGAAAGCTATTCCCAAGAAAATTCTCGTTGAAATTATCGAAGAAATTATTGTTAAAAAGAAAATTCCTAGAAATGTATTACTTGATGTTACCGAGGAAGAACTCGATGCATCAATGATATCCAAAACAACGCCTGAAGATAAAGAAGAAAAGAAGATATCAGAAACAGAAATATTGAAGGAGAAACGAAAATCAATCATTGAAGTTCCTAGCGCGGAAATTTCGGAAATGAAAGAACTGGTAACTTCGCAACAAAGAGCAGAAATCGAAGAATATATTGTTGAGGAATATGTTACCAAAGAGGATAGCATTAACGTACAAAAACTTGAAGAAATCTGTAGTAAAAAGAAGATATCTAAAAGAATAATTATCGAAATTATCGAGGAAATTATAATTAAAAGAAAAATACCGAGGCATACGGTACTTGGAATAACCGAAGAAGAATTATCGCACATAATCAAGGAAGAAGTATCTCCAGAATTGGAAGTTCTGGCTGAAAAAAGGAAATCGATCGCTGAAGTGCTTAGTCCTGACGAAAAGAAAAAAATTCCAGTTGAATTAAAAAAAGATGTGCCTGAGCACGAAGTTAGTGAAGAAAAATTATCACCTACGTCTGAAAAGGATATTGAAGAGGAGGAAGAAGAAGAAGAAGTAGACGGTTTTGTCAGTATACCTAGAAAGAGTTTCGATGAAAAAAAGAAAGAGATTTCGCCGATTAAAACAGAAGTTTTGCCTGTGACTGTAAAGGAGCATGAAAAAGACGCGATTGACGATTTTGAAGCTGTCGAACAGGAATACAAGGTGCACGATGTATCCATTACGTCTCCCGAGAAAGCAGATGAGATGAAAGAGAAGGAAGATATCGAAGAGACTGCGGAAGATACTATGAGTGAAGTGATCGAGGCGGATGAGAAGTTTGTGCAAGAAACTAAAGAAAAAGTAGGAAAGGAAGAGCCTCAGGTCGATATCGAAAAAGATATTAAACTCGATGATAAAAAGCGAGAACTTGAAGAACCAGAAACATCCGAGATATCAGAAATCGTTGACACTACGGAGAAATATTTGGACGAGGCTAAAGAAAAGACAGATGACGTTTCTTCAAAAGAGAAATCTTTAATTGAGAAAGTAGATGAACTGACAATAGTTGAAGAAAAAGAAATCCTTAAAGATATCTCCGATAAACGATCTTCAATTGATATAGCTGCTGTTCCGGAAGCTGTTCTACCAAGTACAAAATTAATTGACGAGAAAGCTGCGCCAGATAAAACGAAAGAAATAGAGCCTGCGAAAGAAAAAGTCGAAGAACTTATAACAAAAGACGATAAATCAAAACCGACATCTCCAATTAAAGATGAAACAAAAGATATCGTTTTTCTTACCGAAAGACTTCTTGAAAAAGTTGAAGGAAAGCCAGAAACAAAACTCACGGATGCAACAGACTTTGCACAAGAGCCGACGACAGAATTACTTGAAGATATAAAATCCAAATTATTGGAACCTACAGAAATCAAAGAAACTCCAATAACTAAGAAGGAAGAGAGTCCTCAAGAATTATCTGAGGAAGCTTTACATAAAAAAACAAGTATCTCAATAGAGCCAGAAGTCGAAATAATAAAGTCGAAAGATGAGCTACATGTTGAGGATGTTAAACCTCTCGAAAAAATTAAAGATGAGAAATACCTAGCAGATAAGTCTGCAAAAGTCGATGAAGGTTCTGGCACTGTGAAAAGAATGCTGGTCACGGCCTGCAGCGAGGATGGCAGAGAAGAAACAGAGATTTGTCCGACCGGCAGCATAACTTTTACGAAGACCGTCACTCCGGACGATTCTCTCAAAGATGTATCCGTGAAATCCACACCAGATAAAGATTCCTTACTTTTAGATAAAGACTCGTTGCACTCAAGCGTGAGTACTCCTGAAAAAGATAGCATTTCCGAGAAATCTGTTCCCGAAGGTAAGGACAAAATCACTTCTGAAGACAGTTTAGAAAAATCTCCTCGTGATTCACAGGATCTTGAAGACAGTTTGGAAAAATTAGAATTGCAAAAACCTAAAGATATTAAAATACCATTAATCGATGACAATAAGCCAAAAGCACCGGAGAAATCGGAAGATATTATAAAGCCGAAATCTCCTATGGAGAAAGAAGACTTGAAGGCTCCAGATAAAATTGCAGCCGAGGATGCATTACCATCACCTGAAGAAAAAAGAAAACCGGAATCTCCTGTTAAAGATACAGAGATTGAAAAAGTAAAACTTATGGCTGAAGAAAAGATTGAGAAACCAAAAAGTCCTACAAAAGATATGGAAAAAATAGAAAAATCTCCTTCGTCATCTGAAATAAAACATGATGATGTACAAAAATCAAAATTATCTCCTGATACGACAGCGGAAAAATCTCCAGTCGAATCAACAGAGAAACCGACACTTCCAATCGAAAAGGTACAATCTGAAAAGATAGGAACAACTGGTGTTTCGAAAACACCTGAGTCGCTCCGTTCCGAAGACGTTTCACCGGCCGAAACGATTTTCTCAAAGTCACCAACAGACAAACCTGAAATGTATTTTACGAAGACATCCATTAGCGAAGAAGATGTTGTTTCTGAAGCAGTCACTGAAAAATTATCTGAAGCAGTCACTGAAAAATTATCTACTAAAGAAATTAAATCGATAGTAGATAAAGAATTAGAATCTAAAGAAAAAACACCGAGTCCGGAAAGTAAAGATCAAACGTCGGAAAAACTCGAGATGAAAGAATTGGATTTAAAATCTACATCACCTGTTATTGTTACCAGTACAGACGAAAAAGCTCCACTTGAAAAATCTATATCGCCAAGCATAAGCAGCGAAAAGCACGAAGAGAAAGATGTTTTAAGTATATCTAGTGAAAAATCCGACGATAACAAATCTATTTGTTCAAAATCTCCTGTTAGTCCTGATAAAGAAGAAAAGGAAGATGTAATCGACAAATATCAATTACCAAGTATTGTTAGTGCATCAATCGATAAGAAAATGTCTGAAGTTAAAGAGAAACCAGAAGAAAAAGAACCGGTAGATAAATCTAAAACTCCAAGTATCACTAGTGAAAAATCTGAACAGGATATTAAATCCCCCGATAGTGTTTTAAGTGATAAAACCGAAGAGAAGGAAACTGTTAAGCTAAAATCACCTAGCGCCGTCGACAAAGAAACAATAAGTGAAAAATTGCCTATTCTCGAAAGTGAAGAACATTATGATGAAAAGGGACCAATTGATGAAGTTAAATCTCCAAGCGCAATCAGCGATAGATCTGATGAGAAAAAAGAAGCCGAGCGTTCGAAGTCACCGAGTATAGCCACGGATAAGTCGGATCTTCAAGATGTGACGGAGCATTATTTAGAGAAACAAAAATCCCCTATTTTTGATAGGCCAGAATCGCCTAAAGATATCGATAAGACTGAAGAACAAGATAAAAGTAGATCTCCCAGTGTAGCTAGTGATAAATCAGATAGCAAAAAAGTAAGTTCTAGATCACCAAGCATTTCTGTAGAAAAAATAGATCTCAAGGATATGGACCTACCAATTGAAAGAGCCCAATTGCCTAGTATAGCCATCGATAAAGATGATAAGTTGGAAGAGCTTCCGATATCAAAGTCACCCATTGATAAAACCGAAGTATCGAAGGACGCGCAAAAATCTCCGAAACTTGATGAAATAGGCCTGAAAGAAATACAATCTCCATTAGACAAATCCCGATCATCGAGTGTGACCAGCACTATTAGCGAATCTAAAGAATCAGGACTTAAAGAAAAATCACCGAGCGGAGAATTTGTTGATAAAAGCAAGTCATCGAGTCTTGTTGACCAAAAATTAGACGTCGAGGAAAAAGAATCATCTGAAAAATCAAGATCATCTAGTATCGTTAAAGAACAACATATTCCACAGGAAATAAAAAAATCACCAAGCTCTGTTGAAGAAAAATTAAAGGATCTTACACAAGAACCGATCGACAAGTCAAGATCATCAAGTGTTTCAAGTATCGTAACTGATGAAAAGGAACCTGCCGATCATTTAAAATCATCAAGTACTGTCGACGAAAAACCAGATTTGAAAGGCGTTGAAGAACCATCACATGATAAATCAAGATCGCCTAGTGTTATAAGTGTTACAGAAGAACAAAAAGAACCCATTGATCTCTCGAAATCGCCTAGTATTGCTGGAGAGAAATTAGACTTAAAAGACATAATCGATATGCCTCCTGATAAATCGAGATCATCAAGTATTACGAGCGTAACGAGTACTCAAAAAGCGGAACATTCGAAATCACCCAGTATTGCTGGCGAAAAACCGGATATAAAAGACGTAACAGAATCAGTAACTGATAAATCCAGATCTCCAAGCGTTATCAGCATTGCAGAAGAAAAGAAAGAACCGTTTGATCATTCAAAATCACCAAGTGTCATCGATGAAAAACCAGATTTGAAAGACGTTACAGAACAACTTGATGAAAAATTTAGATCCGCCAGCGTTGGTAGCATTACAAGCGAACAAAAAGAAACAACGGACCGCTCTAAATCACCTAGCATTACTGACGAGAAACCGGATTTGAAAGATGTTGTGGACCAACAAATTGAAAAAGCACCGAGCGACAAATCCAAATCACCTAGTGCGGTGAGTGATTCAAAAGAACCAGAAGAACGATCGAAATCACCTAGTATTGCTGAAGACAAATCAGATGAAAAAGAACCGACGGCAGACAAATCTAGATCCACCAGCGTGGTGAGCATTACAAGCGAACAAAAAGAAACAACGGACCGCTCTAAATCACCTAGCATTACTGACGAGAAACCGGATTTGAAAGATGTTGTGGACCAACAAATTGAAAAAGCACCGAGCGACAAATCCAAATCACCTAGTGCGGTGAGTGATTCAAAAGAACCAGAAGAACGATCGAAATCACCTAGTATTGCTGAAGACAAATCAGATGAAAAAGAACCGACGGCAGACAAATCTAGATCCACCAGCGTGGTGAGCATTACAAGCGAACAGAAAGAAACGACGGACCGCTCTAAATCACCTAGCATTGCTGGCGAGAAACCGGATTTGAAGGATATTGTGGAACAGCAAATTGAACAAACACCAAGCGATAAATCCAAATCACCTACTGCGCTGAGTGATTCAAAAGAACCAGAAGAACGATCAAAATCACCTAGTATTGCTGAAGACAAATTAGATGAAAAAGAACCGACGTCAGACAAATCTAGATCCACCAGCGTTGTAAGCATTACAAGCGAGCAGAAAGAAACGACAGACCGCTCTAAATCACCTAGCATTGCTGGCGAGAAACCGGATTTGAAGGATGTTGTGGAGCAACAAATTGAAAAAGCGCCGAGCGACAAATCCAAATCACCTAGTGCTATAAGTGATTCGAAAGAACCAGAAGAACGATCAAAATCACCTAGTATTGCTGAAGACAAATTAGATGAAAAAGAATCGACAGCAGACAAATCTAGATCCACCAGCGTTGTAAGCATTACAAGCGAGCAGAAAGAAACGACAGACCGCTCTAAATCACCTAGCATTCCTGACGAGAAACCGGATTTGAAGGATGTTGTGGAGCAGCAAATTGAAAAAGCGCCGAGCGACAAATCCAAATCACCTAGTGCTATAAGTGATTCGAAAGAACCAGAAGAACGATCGAAATCACCTAGCATTGCTGAAGACAAATCAGATGAAAAAGAACCGACGGCAGACAAATCTAGATCCACCAGCGTTGTAAGCATTACAAGCGAGCAGAAAGAAACGACGGACCGTTCTAAGTCACCTAGCATTGCTGACGAGAAACCGGATTTAAAGGATGTTGTAGAGCAACCAATTGAAAAAACACCGAGCGACAAATCCAAATCACCTACTGCGATGAGTGATTCCAAAGAACCAGAAGAACGATCGAAATCACCTAGTATTGCTGAAGACAAATCAGAGGAAAAAGAATCGACGGTAGACAAATCTAGATCCGCCAGCGTGGTGAGCATTGCAAGCGAACAGAAAGAAACGACGGACCGCTCTAAATCACCTAGCATTGCAGACGAGAAACCAGATTTGAAGGATGTTGCGGAGCAGCAAATTGAAAAAGCATTGAGCGACAAATCCAAATCACCTAGTGCGATAAGTGATTCAAGAGAACCAGAAGAAGGATCGAAATCACCTAGTATTGCTGAAGACAAATCAGATGAAAAAGAACCGACGGCAGACAAATCTAGATCCACTAGCGTTGTAAGCATTACAAGCGAACAGAAAGAAACGATAGACCGCTCTAAATCACCTAGCATTGCTGGTGAAAAACCGGATTTGAAGGACGTTGTGGAGCAGCAAATTGAAAAAGCGCCAAGCGACAAATCCAAATCACCTAGTGCGATGAGTGATTCAAAAGAACCAGGAGAACGATCAAAGTCACCTAGTATTGCTGAAGACAAATTAGATGAAAAAGAACCGACGGCAGACAAATCTAGATCCACTAGCGTTATAAGCATTACAAGCGAGCAGAAAGAAACGACGGACCGTTCTAAGTCACCTAGCATTGCTGACGAGAAACCGGATTTGAAGGATGTTGTAGAGCAGCAAATTGAAAAAGCGCCGAGCGACAAATCCAAATCACCTAGTCCGATAAGTGATTCAAAGGAACCAGAAGAACGATTGAAATCACCTAGCATTGCTGAAGACAAATCAGATGAAAAAGAATCGACGGCAGACAAATCTAGATCCGCCAGCGTAATAAGTATTACAAGCGAGCCAAAAGAAATTACAGACCGCTCTAAATCACCTAGCATTGCTGGTGAGAAATTAGATTTGAAGGATGTTGTGGAGCAGCAAATTGAAAAAACACCGAGCGATATATCCAAATCACCTATTGCGCTGAATGATTCAAAAGAACCAGAAGAACGATTGAAATCACCTACCATTGCTGAAGACAAATCAGATGAAAAAGATCCGACGGCTGACAAATCTAGATCCGCCAGCGTGGTAAGCATTACAAGCGAGCCAAAAGAAATTACAGACCGCTCTAAATCGCCTAGCATTGCTGGCGAAAAACCGGATTTGAAGGATGTTGTAGAGCAGCAAATTGAAAAAGCGCCAAGCGACAAATCCAAATCACCTAGTGCGATAAGTGATTCAAAGGAACCAGAAGAACGATTGAAATCACCTAGCATTGCTGAAGACAAATCAGATGAAAAAGAATCGACGGCAGACAAATCTAGATCCGCCAGCGTAGTAAGTATTACAATCGAGCCAAAAGAAATTACAGACCGCTCTAAATCACCTAGCATTGCTGGTGAGAAACCAGATTTGAAGGATGTTGTGGAGCAGCAAATTGAAAAAACACCGAGCGACAAATCCAAATCACCTACTGCGCTGAGTGATTCAAAAGAACCAGAAGAACGATTGAAATCACCTAGCATTGCTGAAGACAAATCAGATGAAAAAGAACCAACGACGGATAAATCTAGATCCGCCAGCGTGGTGAGCATTACAAGCGAGCCAAAAGAAATTACAGACCGCTCTAAATCACCTAGCATTGTTGGCGAAAAACCGGATTTGAAGGATGTTGTGGAGCAGCAAATTGAAAAAACACCAAGCGACAAATCCAAATCACCTAGTGCTATAAGTGATTCAAAAGAACCAGAAGAACGATTGAAATCACCTAGCATTGCTGAAGACAAATCAGATGAAAAAGAACCAACGGCGGACAAATCTAGATCCGCCAGCGTGGTGAGCATTACAGGCAAAGCAAAAGAAATTACAGACCGCTCTAAATCACCTAGCATTGCTGGCGAAAAACCGGATTTGAAGGATGTTGTGGAGCAGCAAATTGAAAAAACACCAAGCGACAAATCCAAATCACCTAGTGCTATAAGTGATTCGAAAGAACCAGAAGAACGATCGAAATCACCTAGCATTGCTGAAGACAAATCAGATGAAAAAGAATCGACAGCAGACAAATCTAGATCCACCAGCGTTGTAAGCATTACAAGCGAGCAGAAAGAAACGACGGACCGTTCTAAGTCACCTAGCATTGCTGGTGAAAAACCGGATTTGAAGGACGTTGTGGAGCAGCAAATTGAAAAAGCGCCAAGCGACAAATCCAAATCACCTAGTGCGATGAGTGATTCAAAAGAACCAGGAGAACGATCAAAGTCACCTAGTATTGCTGAAGACAAATTAGATGAAAAAGAACCGACGGCAGACAAATCTAGATCCACTAGCGTTATAAGCATTACAAGCGAGCAGAAAGAAACGACGGACCGCTCTAAATCACCCAGCATTGCTGATGAGAAAGCAGTTTTAAAGGATGTTGTAGAACAACAAGTTGAAAAATTACCAAGCGATAAATCCGATGATAAAAAATCAATCGGTGATTCAAAATCGTCAAGTATTACCGAAGACAAATCCGATTTAACGGACGTTACCGAACACCCGCTGGATAAATCTAAGTCATCGAGTATCACGAGTATCACATCTGATCAGAAGGAGCCGACAGAAAAGGCAAAATTAGTTCTAGATAAAGAAGAAGGTTTTGATAGAAGCAAATCGCCAAGCGTAGCTAGCGAAAAGTCAGAGGAGGCGAAATCAATATTAAGTTCCAAACCGTCAAGTGTCGCTGGAGATACGGCAGACTTGTCAGAACTGCCAGTTGACAAGTCTAGATCACCTAGTGTGATAAGCGTGACGACTGATCAAAAAGAACCAATTGAAATACCGATTTCTCCTCCTACAGTTTCTCAAACAATAAAAGAACCACACGACAGAAGTAAATCTCCAAGCATAGCGAGTGAAAAATCCAGCTCGAGAAAAGCCAGTATTACAGAAGACAAACCAGATCTTAAGGATATCATAGAACCGCCAATCGATAAATCCAGATCATCCAGCGTTGTAAGTCTCACGACCGAGAAAGCGGAATCATTTGGAAAATCGATATCACTTACCACCTCTGACAAATTAGAACCACCTGTTGATCAGAGCAAATTTCCCAGCACTGCCAGCGATAAATCTGATGGAAAGGTGACGGACAGTAAGGTCGGCACTAAAGAATATTACGAAGATGCCAGCGATAAATCTCCGAGTCTTATTGACGTGAAACCTTCGACAGTTATCGAAAAATTGGATATTAAATCGGATGATGATATTCTACATGACAAATCGCAATCTTCTAGCATTGTTCTTGATAAGCGATCATTGGAAAAAATAGATATTGACGGACTGAAAACAGCCGAACAAGAATTAATTGATAAAGCGCGATCATTAAGCATTATCAGTGACAAAACGGAACCAAAATCACCGTCCGATGTCTCAAAATCATCAAGTTTAACCGACGATAAATTCGATCAGAAAGAAAAGTCTAGATCGTCAAGCGTTGCTAGCGAGAAACTCGATGATATCGATGCTAAGATTGCGCCGAGTTTAGATATTGGAAAAATTCCGAAGGATGAATCTGCTAAGTCGTCGCAAGCCAGTTCGCCATTAGATAAAACCCCGAAAGATAGATCACGTTCGCAAAGCGTCATCGATATTGGCGATAAAATTCCAGCCAGTAGATCTAGAACAGCTAGTTTATTTGATGACAAGCTACCAGAGAAAGTACTTTCTCAGGACGAGAAGGATACATTAAAGCATATTGACACAAAACAATCATTTGACGAAAAGGACGAAGATAAAAGCTCACCGCAAGAAAAGAAGAGTCCTGCGACATCTCCTGAAATGATTCAAAAAGAAATGCGTAAAATTCGCGAGAAACGATTCGCCGATTTTGGAGAGCCAGGCACTATACAGCCAAGAACAATAGAAAAAGCAGATGATGAAGAAGAAGACATCATTAAAATAACAGCCGAGAAGAAAGCGGAAATCGAAAAGTATATTTTAGAAGAGTTTATCGTAAGAAAAAGGAAAATCAGTTTAATCGTAATTGAGAAATTGGTTATGACATACTCGGTGCCGCAATTTATAGTAATGGAAATAATAGAAGATATTATCAGCCGTCAAAATATACCCAAGAGCGCGGTCTTTGACTTTGTCGACGATGAATCGTCCGAATCTCAATACGAAAAAGAAATGGCAACATTGCCACCGCAAAAGAAGGCAGATGTAGAAAAGTATATAACCGAAGAATTTATCGCGAAGAAAAAGAAAGTTACACCGGAAATGTTGGAAGAAATCGTCATTCTGAAAGGCTTGCCACGATATATTATTATTACTATCATTGAAGAGATTATTGTCACCAAACATATACCTAGGAATACCTTGATTGAAGGTGATTTGGAGGAACTGAGAGAAAAGAGTCCGGATATTATCAAGAAAAGAGATGAGTCGATAGTACCGGCCGATTTGAATTTGGAGCAAATTGGCGTTACTCAGGAGTATCATGAAAAGCCAAGCGCTATAAAGGACGAAGATGGTAAAATATCTCCCACAGACAGCGCTCAAGACACGAAAGCTCTTTCTGCTAGTCCCAGTCTTAGTCCGGAGCCCATCCCTTCTGACAAATCAACCCAGGATAGTCCAGTCCGATCGGAACCGCATATAGACGAAGAGATCTTGATATCGGAGGAAAAACGAACGGAAATCGAAAAACTCTTAGAGGAGGAGTATATAAAGAAAGGCCGCAGAATCACAGAAGTGATACTCGAAGAGATAATTATCAGAACTTCCCTGCCGAGATACATTATTTTGGAAATTGTGGAAGAGATCATAATAAAAAGAAAAATACCAAGGGAATCTGTGGTTGATGTGGAGATTTATCAAGAGGAAGAGCCGGAAGAGGACTATGATAAGGCAGTTTATGGTTACGACAGAACAGCGGATGTGAGTTACGAACTGCCACACGATGCCAGGAAATCTTCCATCGAATACAGAATGAGCGGGATGTATGCGGAACCGAGCGAACGACAATTAGATAAATCCGATTATCCGATGGATTACGAGAGTCAGTTCCATAAAGCTTTTGTCGGCGGTATGACAGAGATGCGAACAACACACATAACCACACTCTCCGGCAAGTCGACGCCAGAATTCGCCACTCACGACGCAACACCCGAATCAGGAATCGAAGCTGCTGACAAAACATCCGAAAAATTACCAGAGAGCACTCTTACTACGACTCACATAACCGATGTCGAAGATTCAAAAATCGTGCAACCTATGCAAACTATCACGATATTGAGAGAAAGCAAGATCACCGAACCTCATCTTCCTGAAGAAAGTCCGGAAAAACACGATGCGAAACATGAAATTATTGATAAAGATGAATCGGAAAAAGAAACCATAGAGATTCTAAAAGAGGACAAATCCTCTGATGAAATTGTAATTAAAAAAATTGTGAAGCGCGAAATACTCGAGCAGGAAGAAGCGGAGACCGAAACATCCGGTGAGCCTGCAACCAAATCGGATAGCGACGTCATCGTAGTTAAAAAAATAATCAAACGCGAAATAGTTGAACCGCAGGAGGAATCGGAATCAGTAGAAACTAAAGAAACTAAACGGCCGAGCGTTCAACAAGACGAACCCGATGCAATTACCAAAATCATTAAACGGGAGATCGTGGAGCATGACGAACCGGAAGTAGTTACTAAAGTCGTCAAACGCGAGATTATTGAGCAAGACGAGCCCGAAATTATTACAAAAGTAATCAGACGTGAGATTGTCGTTCCTGATGAAGAAACGAGCGATTCTAAAGAAGATTCAGGCGAATATGTAAAAACGATTACAACGAAAACAACAAGAACGATCTTGACGGAAGAACTGCCGGATACCGAATTATCGCAGACTGATCCTTCCAAAATTTACAAAGATCCTACTTCGGGTACAACTTATAGAGTCGTAAGCGACGAAAGCGTACCCGACGTGACGAGTAGCGCTGATGTGAAGCGAATCGTGACGATGGTAACCACAATCACTGGTCCGGACGGCAAAGTCACCACGAAGAAAGATGTGAAAGAGAGCACTGATACAGTAGACAGCGAAAAACTACTGGAGGAACTAATCGATTCCGACAAGATGGCGACAGAGACCACCAAGTCTGCGGAAAAGATTATTAAGGAAACGATTACAACAGTGACATCGGGCACTTCGACGCCCGACGCGAAAATCTACGATTCCGGCAAATCGACCCCAGATCTCAAACAAGGGGACAAATTCGAATCCACGGTGAAAGAACGTTTAGGCGCGGACAAGTTTGAACATTCGGTATCACCGTTAGTACGAGATCTAATATCGGATGATAAGAGTTACTCCGGCAAATCCTCGCCAGATATATCCCTACCCAAAGACATCGTCTTCAGTGGCTCGACAGGCAAATCCACGCCGGAGATACCCATGTCGCCATTGATTCGAGACGGCGCCGCTATTCAGCCGCATTTGTCGGGCAGATCAACACCCGACCGAAGATCCGATGGTCGATCATCAACAGGTACACCGGAAGGATTTAGATCGGGTGAAGTGATCCGTACCACTATCACCACCACAAAAATGATATCCGACGAAGGCGAAATAGTGACAACTACTAGGGAGGTTACGGAAACAACGAATGAAAAAGGAGAGACTGTTGTGCTAGCGGAGAAGACTGATGTGAAGGTAGATGAGCGTTTGCCGAGCAAGGATGCTGCGGAAAGCGCGATCAATAACATCATCGGCAGCATCAAGTCCTCGGAGTCGCAACGAAGCGGCAGTCCGGCATCCGATGACGCGACCAGCGACAAGGGGGATCCGTTGAGTGAACATGGCAAGATTGTGAGTCAGACTCAATGGGGTAGCAGAGAAGAACGGCATACCTTTTCCGACGACGAGCCGCCCAGCTCGCCTTTATCTTCGACTTCGCAAGTGGGATATTCGCCACAGACAACGCATCGCCATGAACTGTCCTCCGACAAGGAAGATGAGCAGAAGGAACAACAAGTGGAATTCTCGGCAGCTGCGATGAGCAGTAGCTTTTATGGCGAGTTACCGGCGGTACCGGCTCAGATCTCTGCTATGAAGACTTTCCATGGGGAGACTGGCGTACAAAAAAGTAGCGACCCTGTTCATAGCCGTTTCATGGTCGAAAAGGAATTCGCTGGTTACGGCGAAAAGCCGGATGCGAAGAGATATGTCGACGAGGCCGATCTCGATTTCGACAAGGCGCTGATGGAGCACAAAGAGATGAAGGAGGCCAACGGTGCCTTTAGCAGTGGTATAGCGCCCAGGTACACAAACGGTAGCCTTCGACATGAAGACGAAGCAAAAGATCATCCGTCGTCTTCTTTCCGAGATGACAAGGACGATTCGAAGGGTGACTCGAAAAAGGATCCTCTGGAAGGATGGGGTACTCCTCTCGGCCTGCCATCTCCTAAACCTCCCAAGAAATTTAATCTAAAGAATCCCGCTCAAGCGTCCTGCTCGAGCGAATCGACTTCTGATATCTTGAATTTCGATGTGTTAAAAGATTGGGGGGAACCTCTTAGATTACCCTCCCCCGCTCCGACAACTAATGAAGTCTCGAATAAAGGAGCACCCGGCACGCCGAAGAAAGAACGGAAGCAAGCGAAGAAGGTCCAATCGGAGAATATTAAAAATAAGAAACGTTCGGAGAGTCCTGCTAAGAACGAGAAAAAATTGAAGGACTCGAAAAATAAAATTCAGCCGGTTTATATGGACCTGGCTTATGTACCACATCATGGAAATTCGTACTACACTTCTTTGGAATTCTTTAAGCGAGTGCGAGCGAGATATTACGTTTTTAGCGGCACCGAGCCGAGCCGAGAGGTCTATGACGCTTTGTTGGAAGCTAAAAAGACTTGGGAAGACAAGGATCTCGGTAGGTTCAGCGAAAACACATATACATATCTTAAGACTATTACAAATCTATATTTCCATGACAAACTATTATATATAACTATATTTTTTTTCTATAAGATTAAGATTAAGATAAAAATTTTGAGATTAACAATTTACATGATTAATAACTTCCATGATTAATTAAAAATTAAATCAAAATTAGCAAATTAGAGCCATAGCGCAGTAGTTGGAGCACAAGAAAGAAACAACACTCTCTTCATTTTAATTATTCGTATATTTCAAATTAAATATAACATTAATAATTCGCGTTGCTTGCGTGGTTCATGTTTCGAAGGCACACTCTGATATTTTTTCTGCGTTTTTTTCTTAGAGGTAACCATGATTCCGACTTACGACACCGACACTCTGGGTTACTGGGTTGCCGACAACGAGGAGGCGCTCGCTGCGAATCACATAGATCTATCACCGTCCGCGTCCCGATGCACCATCAATCTCCAGGATCACGAGACTAGTTGTAGCGCCTACAGGCTCGAGTTCTAGGGATTGGCAGCCTGCTCAGCCGTAATAGTCGAGTTCTGAGCGGCGTCCGGAACGCGTCATCATTCCGCTTTTTTGGACCCATTCCTACGAAAAAAAGATAGAAGAAAAAAGGTCGAGCGCGCGCGCGCGCGTAGACCGATCTACCGTCCCGTCAGGGCGAGCCTTGACGCCCTGACTCCTTCTTCCCCTTGTAGAAGACCCGAAAACAGATGGCGTTTCTCGAGTTTTCGAGATTCCCTCGCAGTCGTAGCTCCGCGGCCTAGCAGGATCGTAGAAAATCCTATCGAATTCTATATAGAGGTTATCCCGAAGAAGAAAGATCGATCTTCGAGTTCGCGCAGATCTCAGATCGAGATCTATTCTAATCCAAATTAACACGTTCTCCGTATTCTTTCGCGAGGGGACGGTGCGGGCGACGAGACGAGAGATTGTAGGGATTTTTCTCCTTAGTACGGACACAAGGTAAAAGATTAATTACTTACTTCTAAGAAGCCGATTATCGAAATAGAGAGAATTTGATTAAGGATCGCGCTGTATTGATAACAGCGGTGGATATCCTCTTTTTGGTCTAACGGATATTTGTATTTCTACACTTCGCACACCGTTCGCAGCCCATGTAGCGCGTTGATACCGCCTGCAATACCTTATCAATCACTGCTCAAGTCGAGGACGACCGCGGGAATGTTAATTCTTGCAGAGGATTTGCCCTGAAAGCAAAGAGGAACGATGATTGTGACATTGCTTGATCGATCGATCGATCGCGAATCGATGTCAAAAGTCTGTAAATTTCACGGCTTGGGACAATCTGTTACAGTTCTTACCGACTAAATTTGACTTTAAGGATTACCGATCCACGAGTTCAGCGGGTCGAACGGTCGCAGTGTCACTCACAATGAGATCTTCTCGGGCCCCACCCTCTTCTCGAGCAGCAGATTAAAGTAAAACTTTTAATATCTCTGACACAGCTGCCGCTTTAAGAGCACCGCGTAGTATTCAGTGTATCAGTTAAAAAGAAAAATAAGTGTGAAAGAAGAAAAAGGACACGAGAGAAGGAGAATGCCATATTCACGCGGTGAGATATATCGTGAATGGGAAACGAAACGCGCGCTTGACGGATCCATTGACGATGGATCGTCGTCCTTAAACGGGATATGCAAGAAGAGAACTATTCCACGTTATCCACGAAACATTATCCTTCGTTGTTACGTAATTAACGGCCCCCTTTCTCGTCGTAAATGTCTATTCGTGCGTAGATAAAAACGGCTAAATTCCATCGGAAAGTCTACTAGGATAGGGAATTATCTGTGTGTCGTGTTTCTATATCGTAGAGAATATGTAGAGCGGTGGTCGCGCGAGCTTGACGACAGATTTTCGTCATCTTGGGACCCGCGTGGGCGACGTGACCGAGTTAGGCGTCGAGGAGTCCGATGAGGATGTTTTCGAAGAAGTCCGAAAGAGCGTTTTGTTGCCGTGGAAGGAAGCACAGGGCGATGACGATGCATTTCAAGACATCTTTGATGGACAAACGATTGTTTACTGCGGAGAGACCTTTGTTTCTTGATGCGACACGGACGGAATTTCAGAGAACAGTGATGGTGATTTTGGAAACATCAATTCTTTATGAAGAATGACGAGAGAGAAGGAATCTAAGTAGAATCTTGTCTGTAATCAAGTGGAAACTAATATCAAAACTGTCAAATGAAAACATATTTTCAATAATTGGATCACTCCAGCGTCGCATAAACAACTTTCCTGGGACTAAACTCCGAGTGATTTCTAAATACTTCTGAAAGGAAGAAATGTCGAATAGAGAAATGATCTGTTAAAAATAATGGAAAGAAGAACGATCATGACAAAGAAAACTTGTTTGATAGGCAGTAAAAGAGAAGTATTAGTGGATGCTTAAGACTTGATGCAGCTCTGAAGGTTGGATTAAAGTTCCATTACAATGACGAGGAAGTCATGTCATCAATTCTATCATGACGATTTAAAGTTCATGACTTAAAAAAAAACGCTCAATGGACTGTTTTGCTTGGTCACTGTTTTCTGAGATATCGACAATGCTGTTGAAGAAAACCGATCGTTATTCCTTAAATAGATTCGTTTCCAGACTTCGCTAGCGATTTTGAAATCATTACATCACGTGAATTCAGAAGAGTCCAGATCGACAAAACTTTTTGTACTTAACTTTCTCTCAACTAAGGCATTTTATCATAAAGACAAAGCGGGTGACGAAATGACGAGACAATGATAAGGTGATGAGGTGATGAGATACAATGACAGACAATTGCGAACGTGGATATCGACATCCCGTTTATTCGAAATCCTCACTTCTTGGAACACGAATCGATCTCCTATTCATCTTTATTACACGACGAAAGCATTTGAAATCTTGTTATATATAGGAAACGTTTACAGAGCAAATCTTCGTGAAGAGACGTCGATAAACACTTGCTTAAATAACGCAAAAATTTAAGATGTATATATACAACGTAAAAGACTTTCGAAGGAAAGTCTTTACAACTTTTCGACATCTATGTTGTCTGGCTATCCATTTTGAAATTTTTTTCTCTTTTATGGAATTGAAAGAGAGATCAAGTCAAGCATCTTCTAAACATTCATATAGTTGTAACCCTAAGGAATCCATTTAATGCCGAGTCCATGTGCGTATTCCTAAATCGCAATTGTCACATCATGCCGAATCAACGTGACGCTCATAAATTCGAATCGAAATCAAAACGTGTCGGTTTAGTCGACAATCGCCTTGAGCAATCTACAGCTGCGATTTAGGGTTATGCGAATCGAGCGCATGCATAGAAGAGATCGATCATCGTCTCGAAATTACGAGGGAACACGAAATATATAGGGCGGAAGGAAAGAATCGATAAGAGATAAGTGCGATTAAGCGCGATATACCGAAACTGTAACTTATAGAGGACACCTTTGCCCACATTATTCTCGCAAGATCCATGGACACGAGAAGAAATAATATTGATCGCAAAGTCGTTTTTCTGTTCACGTCGCAGCTAAAGACGAAGCCGATTGTCATCGGATTTTACATGAAAATTTGCGAAAGTCAAGAAGCTTCGAAGTAAAAGATGCTTGCGATAGATTAGGACATCGGCACGTTGCGTTGAAGCATGAAGTATATCCTACGACGAAAAAATGGATTTCGCTGAATGAAGGTCGGAGAAAGCTCTCCTCTATACGAGACACATTCGTGCCTACACGAAAATGATGGTGCTCGATTAGACCGATCGTTGATGACCATTTGTTAAGATACGGTGGTATCGAGGCGAGCGATCGGGAGAAGATGGTGATGAAAAACGATTTGTCTTGTCGCTGCAATCGACACGCGATATAGCGTGGCCTTCGGGTCCGGTTTCTATAGATTAGTGCGTAAGTTTTTTACCGCCTGTGTAAGTTACACATTACGATATTTTTCCGTTCCGACTTGCTTTTCACACGCATATATGTACTCATCATTCGTCATTCGTCTGATTATTTATTGTTCATTCTTTTTGTTTATTGCGCGATCATTGTATCGCATTCACCAGACGCGGAAAAGCGTTTGAATAGTGAAAATCGATTGTCGTAAAAATCCACGAGAAAAGTCTGATTACGTTTTTCTTTTTTCGGTTAAACTATGCGCGATCAAGATTTTATTTCGTTGATTAGCGAAAGAGAAGCGAGGAAAGCGATAAAATTTTATAATAGGAAAAAAACGTGTAAAAGAAAAAGAGAGAAAGCGAGAGAGGAAGAGAGAAAAGCGTTGTGACATTGAAAAAAAGAGGGAAAAACGAAAACAATCGATATTGTTATAAATACTATTATTATTCTACCGATTATTTTTAACAACTTAAAATTGTGCTTGTTATCATTGCGCGATTATTATTATTATGCTATTATTATTATTATTGCGATTACTCTATTAATATTATTACGATTACGTTCGCGAGGACGGGTCATTATCATCATCATCATCACTTTCTCTTTGTATTTCTCGAATACGAATAGAGAAGTTTTTATAATCTTTACCGATATCTCTTGATACAAACGAATGACAGCAATTTGTCGGAGTACAAAGGAGAATAGATCTAACGTAAAAAAGAAAAAGAGAGAAAGAGAAGCGAGAAAGAGAAAAAAAGAGATGATGACGATGAAGTATGTACCTATGTATTTATATATTATTTATTGACAAGTAATATAATGACCAGTTATCTAGGTAGGATGTTAAAAATTATAAAATTAAATTTTTTTTTAAATGAGAACAGAATAAATTAATAAACTATTAAATGAGAAGCTATTGTCGATCGATGATGATGCGCGCAGGATAGATTAAATAAATAAAAAATAAAAAAAATTTATGGGAGTAATTTAAATAAAAAGTATAAAAAATAATAAAAAAAGAACAAATAAGAGATTAGGAACGAGCTTTCATTGAAACAGATAGCGGGAAATATGAGAGGGAAGAAAAAAAAAAATATATATATATATATTATATATATATATAGATATCTATATATAATATATGAACGAAGTATTTAATAAATGGAGTATAAGCGAGTGTGAGAAAGAGAGATAGAGCGAAAGATATACGAGAGAGAAAGAGAGAGAGAGAGAGAGGGAGAAATGTGAAAAACGTGAGCCTCAACACCTGTGCGAATCCCCAAAATCGCGGTGCTCGACGGGTGCGAGAACAGTGATATCCTTCTCCGACGAAGACAAAACAATCAAGAAATATTTCCTCAATTGAGGGAGAAATTATTGGGTCGCGCGCGCGGAGGAAAGCGGCGACTATCTCGCTCTCGTTTTCTCTTCTTGATTCGCTCGCGTTTTTCCCATTACGATTTCGTTCCGCAACGGCACGAATTAGCAAAATCAAAAAAAAAAAAAAGAAAGAAACAAGAAGAAAAAAAAAACACCCGCGCCTTTCCTCCGCCGCGGGAAATTCTCTCAGATACTCACGGGGGCTCTAGTCAGAAATCTCGTTTCCTCAAGCGTTAAAAAAAAAAGGAAGAAAAAAATAAACGGACGATCATCTAGTCACATCCGAGCGAGAGAGTTTCGTTGTCGTGCGTTATATCGAGGGTAACGCGAGGGATCCGCGCGTAATTGTCAAAGATGGAAGGACAGAGATTCTCGAGGACACGTGCTCGAAATGTCATTCAACGTGACGTTTCTTCGGAACGCGCGCGTCGCTCGAGTTTCCCTCCACGATTACACGATCGCGGTTCTCACCCGTCGCAGCGCATCGGCGCGTCGCGTTTTTTCGAATAACGAATTAAAAAAAAAAACAAGAACTTACTGTGGAGTGTTCATGGTGCTATGATTATTATTATTATTATTATAGAAATAACGATGTTATGCTATATGATAAAAAAAATAATAATATAATAAATATACACTATATATACCTTAGAATCTCTTCGCCTGTGTGCCTCACGCGTCTTAATTTTTTCCTCGTCGATCGACCGTAGATCAGCCGCCTGTTTCGAGATGTGTTTTGCACAAGGATCGAGACCGATGTAATATCGCTGCGGATCTTCGGATCTTCGGATGCCGCGGACACCGCGAGAGTGAAACGTGTATCCGCGTCTCCTTCGCGGCGCGAGATACATTTCTTTTCTCTCTCACTCGCGGTCGCGACATCGGAAATCGAATTTATTGAAATTACACCGATTTTCTCGGAATCCTGCTTCTGCATGCCCACGCGTGTTTTGTTTTACATGTCATGTAAGTTTGTAATGAGGAAATAAATAGCTCATGCGCCCTGCAAGATTGCATTCTCACCAACTGTATATTCACTTTTTTTTATTTTTATTCATATTTTACTGAAAAATTCATTTACTAAAATTTCTCATTATTTATTAAAATTTCTCTCAGCCTTACTTGTCTATCAAGAAATTGGTAAAGATTAAATAATACACAAACATTGTTAGGTAAAATAAATATAATTACCAGCATAAATGATAAATCTACATTTGTATGGTTCTAAATCTTTCAATGTGTATGCAATTATTTATGATATGCACCATAATATAATATCGCTAATAGTATCATATTCATGGAATACAGTAATATTGGATACTTTTATTATGTAATTGAAAGTTTCTCAATTATATACGTCAAACAACACGCACGTGTAGCATTTTAAGTATTTATCACTATATAATTATCCTGCTACACGAAAGTAATGAGTAGCAAGGAAATGTGTTTTAGAGTGTACGAAACGTTGGATAATTAATTATTGCATTCGCAATTTTTGGATACATTCATTGAAGATCGCATCTGCACGTGCAAAGTTTTCATAAAATCGACATAAGAGACCTTTATCACTGCACAATTATTTTCCTGCATTGACAGTTCGTAGAGCAATAAGTTCATACATCGCACGAATTAATAACAAAAACGAGAAAATCATCGATAAGCTCGAGCAGATCAATAAAAACCTTTGTCATGCTGATGAATCAATCATTGTTAACATTGTTCATACATTTGACAAACGAAGCACGTCGTTTATCACGAAATCCGATTGCTTTAATCGAGCTCATAATTCTCTGATTAAATCATATCGTACAACATGCGTTCCTTAGAATCTCGTGTTATCTGGCATCTTAACAAAGTATGCCACCTTATCTTCCGCTACTCTGTAATTATGAATCCATCTCGAGCCTTTCCTCAGACTCCCGTCAATGCCGTCCCTCCAGACACCAGCTGGCAGATAAATTTCCCTCTGCCTGCTGCCAGAATAAAGCACCGGCGCGACGATTAATTCCTCGCCGACAGAGAACTCATCGACCACCACGTGACAAGCCGGATCGGCTGGGTCCAGCATCCAGAGCGGCCTGATGATGGGTAGACCGGTGTCCAAGGTCTCATTTGCGTACTTTTTCATCAACGGCGTCACCGTCTTCTGTCGCAAAGTAGTCAACCTCTTGGCAATTTCCAGAACCGATTCGTCTGAATATTTGCTGGGCAGATGAGTAAAGCGGATTACGGGTAGGAAAGTGGACAGTTGCAACCATCGGATGTAGAGTTCTTTATCCGGCAAATCCACCTCGAAGTCGTTGTCGGGATTGTCGTCTGACATAGGGAGCGCTACATCACCTCCCACCGCTCCTGGCATGATGAATGGATAGCCGATCATGCCGTAGGTGAGCACGGTAGGAATGACGGTCTTGATGGCCTTCCAGGACGATGCAAATGGTGGCAAGGACACGAAAACGGGCGCTCGTGGCCTGGAAATGGCGCTGGAAACGCCGATCACAGAAATGGTGCCTAGTATCGAACGGGTGAAAATGGTCTTGTAATGATCGGGATTGGTCAGCGGTTGTTCACATTTGTAATAATGCGGCATATCTTGAGCGGTGCCCAGATCGAGGTAAAACGAGTCGACGTGATACTTCATGATTAAGCTCTCAAGCTTTGTTTGCAGCCAAGATAAAGTCTTGTTGTTTGTAATGTCAAGCACACCAGCGCTGTTACTTTGCTTGTATCTAAAATTAAATAATTTTTTAAAGATTCTTCAAATTTTCTTAATTCTTAATTCTAGTCAAATAATAAAACATAAAAGTACAATTATATATTATAAATTATAAATTATATATTATACAATTATATATTATAAATTATAAATTATATATTATATATTATATATTATAAGAAATATACGATTGAAAAATAACCTCGTTAACGCCGGAATCCGAGGATCGCTTCCTCTCTCAGAAATGAGTAATCTGTTAGCGACAGCATCCTTGAAGTTCATGGATTCCGTGGAGATAAACGGTTGAATACTAAAGACTATTCGAAATCCTCTACGATGAATAATGTTAATAGTCTCTTCCATGGAAGGAAATCGTTCTTCGTCCAAGACAAAATCTCCTGGACTCGGCTGCCATTCTTCGCTTAACAGAACATGGCCTTGACGAAGAAATCCCAGCGCAATCACGTCCTCCGTGTAATTGTAAATGGCCGCTTCGTTAATAGGCGAAATCTGCCAGACTGGTTCGGACAGCAGCGAATGAACAGCGTGCAACTCATCGGGCTTCAGACCATCCCATAGAGACTTTTCCGCCATCAAAGAATGTAGAGTCTTCATGTTGTCAGTGGCACAAATGGTGTAATTGAGCTGGGGTAGCGGCGTCAGATGATTAATATAAGCGAAAGCATCATGCTTGGCTTGAAGACAAAAGTCATTGGTTCGATTAGCGTTGATGGAGACATATAATGGCGTTTCAGAATCAACTAAGATCGTAGCACCCTTCGAGTTGAGGAAATATCTTTTCAACACGTTACCGAAGGATTGTCTCCTCACATCACCCGTGATAAAAGGGCTAAGCTCAAGGCGACCTCGTTCCAGAGGATATGCCATATTCTGTATCTGACCTGCACCGTACCAGTGGCCTCTCTTCGAGGACCAGTCGAAGCAATCCTTAGGGTTATAGTAGGGGCTCAGGCTCTGCCAGGTTACGTGATAGCAATGCATATCCTCGCGCTTCGTGTGCGCGAGGTAGAGCCGTGTCTGCTGTAACCATTCAAGACATACCGAGTCTTGCCGCTGATGATGAGGAAGGCAAGGATACACTCCCGTGTCTGACGGAATACCCTCGCCGAGCCGAGCGGCGATGATCTCCGCGCCGGTACTACTGTAGACTGTCATCACTCTTTCATTTTTATTGAATCTGAAAGGAGGATATAAACAATCATTATGGTTTGCAGAAAAATTTTCGTTATGTGTATAAAAGATAACAAAATAAAGATAAAAAAAATAAAAATCCTATACATTAAAATATCGATAGTCAATAATTAATATCAGTAAATAATAAAGGAAAAAGGTAATATATAATAGTTAATTTTGCCAAGATTCTTCTTCCATTATAAAATAATAGCCCTTAAAAAGTTGAGTGTATAAGCATTGGGTCAACAATTGAATACGCATTTTGAGACTGACGTGAGACGTCGACATAATAAACGAGCCTTAATGTATCCCATTAGGTGCTTCCTGGCAGAGGTAAACGACCGAAAATTATTTCAGTAGGCAAGCAATACAAAACACCGCAAACTAACAATACATTACACTGATTCGATAATCGATAACTTGCTCGAGAGAGAAGTTATCCTTAAATATAATATTATATACAATATTAAATAATATTAAATAATATTTAATATTAACAATATTAAATAATTTTATTTTTTAATTGTAAAAAATACAAATATTTTATTTATTTAAAATGTTCTTTCATGTCAACTATTCACCTGAATTTGTCAAAGTAGGCTCGTTGTAAGACATACTGGTTGTAGTAAATGTGCGCAAATCCCACGAGGAAAACGACGCACAGGAAGAGAATACCGACAAAGGCCCTAAGCCTGGGAAAATTTGTTACATATCATTAAAATAGGATATGAGAAAATAATTCATACGTACAATATTCTTGTCAAATGTTAAAATCAATGTATCAATTCTGTCATCGAAATTTGATCTCTCGCTTTACCTGTAGTCGGCATTCTGACGTCTTGTGCTGTTTCGTAGTGCTTGTGGTAACGATAATTGCAGTTTTTCCTTCAAGAGACTGCTAATGCTGTTTACGCTAGTTATCGTGGAATTTGCACTTTGTGCACCTGAAAGTTCCGTAGCGTCGTTTCCCATTTTTTCATTCATCGATGATTGCATGACTCTACTTTTCCTTCGCGGTGGAGCTTGCAATGGCACTCTACGAAACAAAAATTTTCTTTTATTATTATCATATTAAATAAACAGTCAAAGTGAATATTAATTTCTATTTCAAATTTTTTACTGAAAGATACGTATATAAACTTATACACGTGTCATATTATACCTCTGCAATGATATGGCGCTACCAACATCGTATCGGGGAATCATCTTTATGTTTCCAAACACAACTAATATTCAAAAATATTAAATTTTAAAATATGTTTCTTAATCTCCTTAAATTATTTTACTTCTTTTACGTAGGAATCCGAGCGCAAGCACAATCATATATTTTAAAAATATGACGAACACTCGACTTGAATAACAGGAGAACAATTTTGAACAATTGCCTACGTAAAAGAGAGAAATTCAAAAGGAGACGATAATTACAATCGCTTGACTGTTCACCGAAACAAGCATTTGTAGGAGCCGAGTTTTATGGCGCGATAACCCTAATGTGATATGAAAGAAGGTCGGAACCGACGACGATGGTGTTTATGATGACCGTGAACGTTAGATAGGTACGGATGTTTCATCTATTCAGTCCGGGCAAACGCAGTAAACAGTATTTCTATATATATGCAGTGTATATATGCATCTAGTGGGATGTTGCAATGTAAATTGCGCATTTAAAGTGCACATTGTTGAGAGAAAATTATAGTCTGTGGAGTGTCCGTCTCTCTTGCGGCGAAGAGTTTCACTAATAATAAGTGATATCGACGTATTTATAGATTTATGCGGTCGAAACGAGTTAATACAGGTACGAGCCGAATCAATATTGAAATATCAAACACAAGCGCGCAATATGTTGTGCTGTGTTATTATCGTCCGTTGGATAAAGTTCCGAGGTATGAGTTTATCTCGTTTATTTGAGTCAAATAATTTGACACAGATTGTACCTAAGGCAAGTAGATATGTAAGAAAGTCATTTTTTTACAGAAAATATTGAAAAAATGTTTTTTTATTATTATTTTTTTCAATATAATATTTTTTTCTTTCTTTTCATATTTCTTTGTAATGAATATATAATGAAAAAACTAAAAACTAAAATTTTTATATTTTTCATTTTTCTTTTTTTCAAAAATAATTTTAATGAATTAATATAAAACTTTTGCGGCAAATTACATCAAATATAATATGATATATTCGGATAATTTTCAATTAGATGCATAACACAAATTTTTATACCGTGTTTGATAATATTTTAATGGCAAAGATTTCATTAATTCATTAAAATTATTCTCGATACACATAAATTAAAAATATAAAAACTTTATTTTATAATTTTTCTATTATTTTAAAATAGTGATTAAGGTACATTATTTAAAACTGTGTTTCTTTATCCATAATAAAGACAATTTATTTAAATTTTGATTTTTTTGGAAAATTTTCCTAATTATATAAAAATAGTAATTATTTAATTATATAAGCTATTGGAATGCGATATATATTTAAAATAATGACGGTTCATACATATTAGTTAAAATCTATTATCTAAAAAATCAAATAATATAATGAAAAATCAACTTGTAATAATAAATATATAAATAACAGAAATATAAATAAAAATATATTTAAACAATAAAATATATTTAAACAATAAAAATATAAAAATGTTAAATATCTGAAAAAAATTTAAAAGAAACAAGGCTTTTTTCATTAAAAAAAAACTGTATGAAAGAAACATTTTATTTTATATATTATACATTAATAATGCCGATAAGATTATTAATCTTTATTCTATAAAAATAAATCAAATTTCTAATCATCTGGCATTTCGACTTATGAAGCGCCATTTGAAACGGGATTTTAAGTTTCTCTCTTTTTTAAACTTTCGATCATTAAATTCAACACTCACTTGGCCAATTCCTCGTCATTTGCTTCTTCCTCTGTGTCGGATCCCAGAGGGCTTCCATTCGGCGTCGAGCCGCTATTACTGAAAGTTACGCTGCTGCTGGTCTCGCTCTCCGCTCTCATGAATTTCGAGACGGTCCCCTGAAAACGTTAACAATAATTTAGATGTTAACAAGCAAACCCGTTTTGCCGACACCTGTGCAATGAAACAAACTCGTCAATCGAAGCCGTAAATCGTCAAGCATACATCAAGATTCATTTATATCAATCGTTTCCACTATATCTATCGCTGACGCAACGAAACATACGTAACATATATTTTTTATCGATATAATAGTCCACGACGAATTATTATGCAATACTGCATAAAAACGCTAATTTATTATATTTATATTTTTCTTGAATTTATTATCCCTCTAATCCCCTTTAATAATTCTCTAAATAAGATAGCAACAGAAATATATTGTTTGTAAAATAAACTTTCGATCGATGAGCAATTAAATGCAATGACCGGAATACTCAGAAATGCATTTCTTATCAGCAATAATTATTGCTCATCGTTCATAAAGCCTGAAAATTCAACAAGCGTAATAATACTTAAAGCGATATTCGAGCATAATAATGCTTCACTCTCTCTCTCTGGAACAAAATATTATTCAAGTGTGTTAAATGTTTCTCGACCTTCGATCTAAAGTCATTTGCATAACGCTAATCTCATTGATTGAATCTTTCAACATAAACATACTGTTGCCATTGTTTATATATTCAATTGTCAATCGTTATGATTAAATCTTAATAAACGGTGCTTACCATCTTGTAATTATCGATAATATTCTCTTCGTTACATTTTGTATCGAATAGATTTAATACTATAATTTAATACATTAACAATTTTTTTCTTCTATTTTTACTTCTATTTTCTTACGTTTACATTTATTTACACACACTTTGCGTATATTTAAAGTGAAAGATATACAATCTTTCTCTTTCTTTTGATGAAGAAGAAAAAAATTTGTTGAAGCATTTGAAGAAGCTGGATGTAAAATGAAATCGCACAAAATATAAAGACGCACAAGAGATGCACGAGACGGCTCTGTTCGTATGAAGCGACCTGCAGGAACTAGTCGTTTCCCTAATGGAAACATGAAGCGGAATGCATGCATGAATAGTTCGCAAACATTACGTAACGCAGCATTGACGAGGAATCTCGTTCTTCCGCTGTATGGACGTAAAATGCTAATAGATAATGATTAATGAGATGAAATGATATCGTGTTTGAATTTATCTTTAGCTTACAGAGGTTGGTGTTCATGCCTAAGAGAATAGTATTTTATATTTTTATAATAATTTTTGTAAGTGTGTGTAAAATATTAGAATTGCACAATATTCAAGACAAGATAATAAAAACATATTAATAAAAATATTGATATTGAAAATTTTCAAAAATTTAAATCCTATCTTGAATTTGTATGAATCTTTGTAGTAAAAAATCTTCTTGTCCCGGTTTCATTAATAACAATTTTTATTTTATACTGAATAATTGTTTAAATTGTTTAAAATAATATTTAACGTCTTTACAGGCAGCAGAGAGACGTTTTAAAAATATATGTATTAAAACGAATTAAAATTTAAAATTTGAAGTGTAACGTCTGTATACTTTTCAAATTAAATTATATATATAAATATTTAACGAATTAATCGAACGAATGCATTCCGATTCATCTTTTCGTTTGGTATATATAAATATTTAATTCACTATTCGACTGATTGTGTTCCGACTCGCTTTTTTATTCGATATATATAAATATTTAATTAATTAATCGAACGATCGCATTCGGCTTGTCATTTTACTCACCGCGTTATAGTGAATATCGCGCGAGAGAGGCAGGCAACATGCGCGGCGTCGTGCACGATTTCGACCGTCCGCGCGCAGACGAAAAACGGCTAATTTATATCTCCACTTCCGGACGCGATAGCGATTTCGTTCTTTTTGCATAAAATTCTACACTTTTTCGCGGCACTACCGTTTAAATCTCGTCCCGATCGCCCGAGGAGCGGCTGACTTACAGTAAATATCCGAATATCTGCTTCTTGGATTCACACTTAAGTGTAATATTTATACAGTCCGTCAATTTTCGATCTTAACGAAATAAAGAAGTAGATTGGCTCAAATTAAGAAGGAATGACCTGTATGTTTTGGGATTGTCGCAATAATTAATGAAATATTAAATAAAGAAGATCGGCCAATCTGCGTGAGTAGAAGCGTGAGTGAGTCGCAATTATTATTGCGACAATCCCAAAACAATATAGGTCATTCCTTCTTAATTTGAGCCAATCTACTTCTTTATTTCGTTAAGGTCGAAAATTGACGGACACCCTGTATGTTTATCATTCATAAATTATTTCAAAAAATTCAGTTCAAAAAATGTAAAATATCATATACTCATGCATATCATATTATTTTTATATTATAGATGTTACTTTATACTGAAAGCACAGCGTGATAAATTTTTTTTGCATAGAAATTAAAATTTTACGTAAAGCTGTATAATCATAATTCTCATTTAATATTATAAGCATATGATATGGAGTGGTTTATAGAAAGAACGTTGTAAACTTAGGCCTATAATTTGCATTTCTATAGAAAACATATGAATTCGATCCATCTTTATATTTTTGAACCTAAACTCGAATATTCGAAACTTAAAATCGTTCAAAGTCCGAACTTTATGAAAAAATGCAGCTTTTCTAATCCTCGTTTAACAATATATTTACATACATACACACACATCTATTATAAACTCCAATAACAATAAAGAACATTTCTTTTGTTTATCAATTGATAATCAAATTATCAATTTAATTACGTTATTAATCGAAAACATTCAGGAACAATTGTCAAATATAATCTGAGTTGATTATTATTCCCCGGATATAAATATTTTTAAATATTTTAAATATTTTTCTTGATATAAATATATTTTAGTCTAATGGGATCGCGTTACGGATACAATTGCATTCAAAGTTAAAATACATATATGAGTTCACTTACGTTTTGTCTGTCTGTTCGAAGATCGTCCATCTCATCGAGTTTGCTGGGCATCGAAATGCTAGTCTTCCTTATATTATTCGTAACACGTAGCGCTGTCACTTCCGGCAGTGCTTTCACCGTTTTGTCGGTTGCTTCTTGATTATTCTCTAGTTTGGTTACGTTAACAAACGCATTTCTATTGTCGGTTGATTTATCTGAAATCCAACCATAAGGAATGGATTCGAATGAAAATTCACAAATACTAAGACATACGTCTTGTATCACTTGATGACAATTAATTATACATTGAAATAACATTAGCGTGTACGCAGATCAATAATAGTGCAATTTCTACAAAATTAATTTGACAGAAGATAAAATTAATTTGCATAGTTCAACGTTATCGCTAAATGAATATTTATGCTATATTAACGTCAGAAACGAACCTACACAAATACCATGACCCCACACGGATACATGCTTATCGTAGTACAAACTTTCGTAAGAAAACATTACGGCGGTGCAATTGAAGATCAAACGCTCATTGGAATTAATAATTAAAAACTTGGCACTCTTTCACCATGACGGTAACATACGTGACAGAACAAATAAATATCAAGAATATAACCTTTTAAGATCTCATAAACGTATGATATAAATGAAGAAGTAAGTTAGATTGATTTTTTCAATATCTTTTTAAATAGAGAATAAAAGAGAGAAGCAAAAAATAACTTTGAAAGGTGCAAAATAGAAATGTGTGATTGTCCACGAGACTTGACAGAAGATAAAATCGGCTCGCAAACCGTAACCATCTTCTCGAAATGTTTCGCATCTTATCGTCCCGGAAAAGACATCCTCGAACATAAAATTCCCTCCGATTCGAATTGTACATCTATCGATTCCACGCAATCTAACAGCAGTGATACGATATGCGACTCTGCGAAAAGATCGTCAACAAGTCTGGAATCCTCTAGCGAGTCCAGCAGAACGGTACGATATCGACAAAGAAATATCTCCTATAAATTAAATATAACAAGTGCAAAGATTAATCATATGTCACAAACAAATAATCATCTTGATAATCGAGCAGTATAAATTTATTTGTCCCACGGAGTGCGATTATTCCGGCGAGAAAGAGGGTTTCATATCGCCAGTGATTTGCTTCGATAGCGGCGAAATTAAAGAGACTGTCGAGAAAGAACTGGAAGTCGAATGTACCTTGGCCATAATAAAGCCAGAAGCAGTGATCTACAGAATGGAGATCGAGCATCGAATATGCACGGAAGGTTTCGCAATTTGTCAAACACGTTGGCTCCAACTTACACCCGAACAGGTTTCAGAATTCTATCAAGATCACTTCGGCGAACTGAATTTTCCTCATCTAGTGGCGTACATGTCCTCGGGACCCATCGTAGTGTTCGTGTTGGCGAAGCAAAACGCCGTGGAAGAATGGAAGAGAATCATAGGCCCGACTACGGTATTTTAAGAAATTTGTTAGAACAATCGGATAATCTTAACAGATTTCTTGTTCATCAATTTGTTCAAAATTCATCGAAATGTTGTTTCAGGTAGCTGAAGCGCGTTTATATTTTCCCGACAGCATCAGGGCGAAGTACGGTCGCAGAGGAGATAGTTTTAAGAATGCTGTACATGGCAGCTGCAGTCGTGAACAAGCCGAGAAGGAGATCCACTTTTTCTTTCCCGAATGTAAGAATTATTCTTCCACTTCATCGTCTTTCATGTCTTTGATTTTTCAAATACTTTTAATATCGTCTTGAATTCGGATTTATTTCTTCTTTCAGTCATAATTGAGCCGTTATTGAGGAACGAGATGGCTGAAGACTTTTTATGGGAGAGTATTAATCCAATTCTCATCGAAGGTCTAACTTTGGTAAAGTAATCTGTCCCGATAAATATTAAATTTGTTATTGATATTTTCTTTCATTTTACTAATATTTGGATAAATGATTTTAATTCCATTTTATAGTGTTGCAAACATAGACCGGCTGATCCTGTATTGTGGTTGGCGCACTGGTTGATCCTGAATAACCCTAATAAACCTAAACTACCGGAAGATCTCACTTTAATTCCGACATAATATTTTTTGAAATTCATCTCATGGGTCATCCATGTAATTTTATATTTTATATTTTAATATGGTAAGAATCACCGTCTCACCCACTGGATCTATTTCCTTTGAAGCTTCTTGTCGACGACATGATGGCATCTTTTTTAACCTCCTCTCCTTCGCAATTTGCAGATTGTACCTCGAAATATAAATAGAAAATTGCAAAATGCTGTCGGATATAAAACTACTGTGCGAGTTATTTTTTATTTAAATAAAAAATTTAAAAGGTATGCTAGAAACTTAATAAAACAATAATTTATGATAAAAAATTTTAATAAAAAATTTTCGAATGCATCCTTCTTGACTTTGAGTATTAAATATTTGATGTCGAATTTTTATTTTTTTATTTCTAGAAATAGATACCATGCCAGCGTATTATTTCCAATGTATAATTACCTGGATTCCACTAAGTATTGGACGATATCGACGATGGCCGGTTTCTTCCCAATTATCCCAGAATCGTCATGAATACCGTTTGTCTCGCTGATTTTTGCATCGTCTGTTCTCCGCGAATCTTTCTGCCTTGTCGCCGGCTGCTCGAGTCTCGAATGATTATCGTTCCAATTTTTCGTCAACACTCGCGATGCATCGTCGATTCTTTGCCCGTTCGCGTCACATCGCACTCCATTCTCTTTGTCGATCTCGAAACGCACTCGCACCGCCGCTGTACCGTTCACATCATCGAAACCGCGACTAATTTCCTGCGAGCCGTTGATTAATCCATTGTCGACCTCGCCTGCCTCGATGTCGTCAGTTTTCTGCTTGCTATCTCGTAATCTTTCTTCGAGCGGAATCGAAGACGGAGAGTCGCCAGTTGCGTTGATGGATGATCTTGGAAATGCAATGACATTAAGATTATTGAATAATCTATGGGTAAATTTTTTTACGAAGGTGCGACAGTTTTTAGTTTGTTAATTATTCAATTTTACAATGAAAATAAATATAATGAAAATTATTGTATTCAAAATTATTGTATCAAATAAGCTTCTTTTCGATCAAGCATCAAGCTATAATCGAATATGCTCATTAATCAAATATGACTTTCAGTTTGTCCAGATGCCAATTTATTAGTACGTTAATGAATTGGAAAGATCAAGGATACCTTCGCGGCGAATACCGAGGATTCAGCCAAATGGGATCGATTAGTGCAAATTCCTCAGATTTGGCGAAGTGACTCGAGGAACCGCTACCAGGCTTGTACCAAGGCGATGGTGTCTTGACGATGGGTTTGCTTAAAGTCGTCCATCTCGGCTTGACACCCTCGTCTTGTTTGTAGGGTGAAGATAAGATGGATAGGGAGACGCCCCGTCGTTCGGCCAATCCGATCGGATCGACACTGGCCACCTTCACATCCCAAGGATCGACAATGGACAGCAGCACTTTCTGCGTCGTAAAACAGAGACGGGATGATGATCAGAGAGAACTGATGAATAGTGCGGGAGTAGAGCGGGATGCGGGGAAATGATCGTTGAAACTGTCTGTGGGAGTGGACTCGTTAAGTCTCGTTAAAGTTATCCGCGGTGGATGCGTTCTCTCTATCTTTCTCCCTCTCTCTCTCTCTCTCTCTCTCTCTCTCTCTCTCTCTCTCTCTCTGTCTAATTCTAATCGAGATGAGACGGTCTTCTAACTATGAAGCGCATTCGCGAAGAAGCAAAATATAAAAATTTTTCTGAACAATTTTTATGATAAAAAAAATGTCCAATTTTCTAATGGGATTATAAAATGACATATATTGATCTTATACGATTAAACATGAATTATTTACGTAATGTCATTCTTCAACGAGTACGTTAGCACTTTTAGTCATCGGCTTTTTAGTCATCGTTTACATCGAATAGACGTGATGGATCACGTGGAACGGTTTGACAGTTCCATTCGTCTTCATTGCATAATACGGCATAATCCATAACTTAACGATTGTTTATGTGACGATTATATGACGAAGAGTAAGAAGAACTGGTTACAAAGTGAAATATTATCAAGCGTTACGGAATATAATAGTTTTTGCGGCATCGGTTTTTTTTGAATTTCCGCGATTCATTTCGCGGTTCATTTCATGCTATTTAAAACTATCGTTCTCCTCGAGGTGAATATTTAATCAGAAACTTTAAGAAAACCAATCGTAAAGAATGACGCGTTTCTTGATATACTTTCGTCGATGATTAAAATTTTTCAATAGAAGACTTGTACAAAGTTTTTCCTTCTTCTTTTAATATATTAGAACTAAAGTGAAAATTTGTAGATAATCTTAGTAAGTTTTAAAAAGCATTATGTGTTCGAAGAATTATTGAGATCTTCTGATTTAAGTAACGAATGCTCACAGATAGTAACGTGACATTGAATTTTCACAGGCGATAAACACGTAATCAAATATATTAGGTCTATATTAAAAGATTTTATTTCTCACTTTTCGCAAGAAAGTGTAATATATTTTCGCTTTAACATTTTCTCTGTTAGGGAAATAGATACTTTTCAAATAAAATAAGTAGGATATGCGATTAAATTAGGAATGTTAAAAAAAACAGATAACGAAAAATAATTTTTATAATAAAATATATCTTTGATTAAATAGATATAAAGCAAGTAGATAATATTTTGTTTATATTTAAAGAGTTACAATTATATAAGTCCTTATGTTGTAAATTGAATGTTTTAAGCTACAATAGTTAAATGTTTCCATGTAACTTTCATTAAAGTAAGAAACACAAACATTTTTTGATATTGATATGTTTTTCGATTTTTGACATTGATTGTTGATCTTTTTTTAGCTGTTATCTACACGCGTTATCGATAAGACGAGCGTTTCCTAAATTAAAAAGGATTTTAATCTTTTGAACGCATTTTATTCGTTAAGATAGCACAATATCCGCAAATATTAGAAATTACAACATTTGCCTTTATATTTCTCTATTTTAAAAATTTTTGTAAATATCATTAATCATTTAAAAAGAGTGTCATCTACAAACAAATTGAGAATATTTTTATAACAGTAAGCAATAATTCATTGCCACGTCAGATATATAAAAAATATCATTAATTTTGTTAAAGAATATAATTATATAGAGATTATTTATAATAATTTATATAGAGATTATTTATAATAAAATGGAAATAAAAATAGAGACTATTTAAGGAAAAGGGATTATTTAAATAAAATAATTTATTTAAATAAAATGGAAATAAAAATTTTCAAATTTTACATAATCCGTTATTAAAAGTTCTTTAATCGGAGCATTAATTTAATTTGATGAAATCTAAATCCATAGACTTCGATGAACTACCTTTTCACCACCCATCCTTTTCCTCTTCCTCTTAATACGATCCATCTCTTCTTCAGGATCCAAGAAACTCAAGCTTCGAGTCGATTAAATTAAATACACGATATACATTTATAGTCTTCACAGATTGTTCCACCTTCTGAGACAGGTGATTTTGAACTGATCTGCCGTTCCGTATATCGGCGACCACTTAGCGATATCTTCTTAGACCTTCTTGCATTTGTATGTGTATCGGTATCACGTCATATACACGAGACCGCGAAGATCGCACATTATGTATTGCAAAAGTGTACTCACACCAAGTAGACTCACATGAGCGCGGTAATCTGTGACAATATTGCCGCCAAGTATACACGACCCATTTTGGCTTTATTTGTGTTTACATAGTTTACGACGAGAGGAGAACAAGAAAGAGGGGAGGACTTTAATTCGCACGAGATAATAATCATTGTAATATCGTTATGTATTTATTGTACGATGAAATCACCCGTTATCCTTACACGTCCTTATCCGTAGATACCAATCCTCTTGCGAGGCATTCGCAACAAAACTCTTTGTCGTCTTCGATCAGTTATTTTTTTCGAAAATGGTCAATTAATGACGCACGGTCGTCTTCCTTCATTTAAGGATTTTTCACTCTGCGGTAAAAATTTTCAAGATTTTTATCTGGATTTTCTGGATTTCTCACGTGCTGGAACGAGTATGCGAAACGATGGGAAAGCAATTTCCTTATTCTGCATAAAAATCTCGGTATTATTTGTTTGTACGAATGTGTTACGTCACTGAAATCCACTTTAGATTATTGCGGTACGTCGTAGAATAGATTTTAGATTACCGCGTTACGTAATAATAATAGTATTGTTATAAATATGTCGATCACAAATTCTCTTACACACACACACATACACACACACACACATTTACTGTTAAAATTAATAAATTGTCTACCGCGATATCATCTACAATGTGACGCATAATTATAAGAGGTAGGATGTAATCTATTAAAAGAGGAAAATGACAAGAATTCATTTCATTCGTTTTTTTTATTTTCCGCTTCTCAATAAGATGGCTCATAAAGAAATCGAATAATATTTCTCGCTAATTCGAAATACTAGTTTTACAGCAAAATTACGCGAACTGATGTTATACGATAAATTGGAGCATTTGTTATTACGTACTACGATTATACAGAATATTTTAATTATAACGCCTAAAGTGTGTGTTAACCGTAATGATATGGTCTTGTAATAACAATAAATTATACTATCTAATGTTTTCTTCGTCATTCTGCGTTCAACGAACTCGTTTAGCTCGCTAATTAACGGATAGTATAACGAAGAATTAATCGAATTATAGCATTAATAAGCTGCCTTAAATTTACTAATTTCCCCGTGAGAAACGCATTTGCACAAAATGCAATTTCGCGAATGTGAAATAAGAAGAAACTTTCATTAAGCGTATTTTTTTAAAAACGAAAGGGAATCTTTGACGCGCAAAAGTCGCTAAAATCGTGTCGAAAAAAAAAAAATCGATAGACTTAAGATAAATACTGAAAGGGATAAAAATGACAATTTTATAAAACTGCGAAATCATCATCGTTAATCCGATTAATTTTTAAATCTTTCATCAGAGTTGAATCTATGTGGACGTATCCTCTGTGATTTTATCCTGCACGATTTTTTTCGAAAAATATTTGCTACCAATTAACTACGCACGCGCGATCATCATTTTTCCTCTCGTAATTATTATTGCCATTCTCCAGACAGATGACTATTCTCTACGCCATAGACACACTTTTTCGTTTCTTTTTTTTCTCAATTCGGAAATTAATTATCACTTTACCGAGCAATACAAGCGAAAGATCTCATGGGTGTATCCGGAATCTTTTACTGGTAATAGAATAATCACAATGAGACCCTCGAGTTTCTCTGACTTCAATAATATCACGGCCAATAATAGATCAGGTAAATTCTAATATAAATGTTACGAGCTCATTCGAAGGTTCATTCGGTTCACCCAATTATCAATAATACTTCGCACGCACGTATTGCTAACTACAACTCACACATCATCTTGCATCTGTTCCTTAACAGAATTTCCCTCTCTCTATCTCTTTCTTGACAAAACAATGAAAACCATTATTGTACCATAATTGTCTTGCTCGCTTGATTGAGAGAATATCTCGTGTACGCGAGGTTGATGGATCTTGCATTCACTGGGATATTCGCGTATTCGATTATAATTACGTTCTATATTATACTCTATACTTCTATCATATACCATTAACAGTATCATAACTATGCTGCTCTCTCGCGCATATATTTATATTTATATATAATTTTCTCACCATTCACACACATCTTCGAACCTTTCACACTCGCATTTCCCATTCGTCGCACGCTCGCCATGAATAAAGTTTAAAAACATTAACGATAATAATATATCTACATATCTTTCTATATTTATATATCATTTGCTGAGACTGCTTGCCAACTCAAGTAAGCGAACAAGTGGATTTTCAAGCGCTGCGAGAAAACAGAGTACTCATGTATAAACGAAACTTTGTATGAAAAAATCAAATTGTGAATGATGTGTGTGTAAATGTGTGTATGCAAGAGTTCGCTCCAAATGTTCGCTTTCTACTGTGAATCCGCGTCGAATGCACCGTGGCAGACGACATGGACATCGCACGCAGAGCAGTATGGTGTACTAAACATTATCTTTATACGTTTCTTGCTGTTATTATCAGTGAATCCCTCTTAACATTATTAGTGAGTATTATTTTTCCTTCGAGTAATAATGGAGGAGACAATCGTGCCACACGTGCCCTGTGTTACACGCTGCTGTCCCCTTTGCGTGATCCTCCTCCTCTATTAAATCACGGGATATATGTATGACGAGCACTAACGTCGCATTTTCTATCGTACAGTATCATTGTAAATTTGATGACGGGAAGGAAAAAGGGGAGTAGCCCGATAAAGTTTCATTCGAGAGAAAAAAAACAGTCCCCGGTTCTTGTTACAGTCGTGATTTGCACGCACGCAGTTTTTATGTAATAATCGAGTCGCAAGACGAGAGACTCGGTTATTAATCTTGCCTCGATATAATCGTATCGTTCGTTAGTCTTATTGAAACAACCGAGTTCCTTCTCAACAAAGTATATTTTTAACATTGATATTTACAATTTCCTTTCTATCTTTCATTACCGCTAATATCCTACACTTATTAATGAATTAATAAAACGTGTAGAGGATCGATTTGTTACATATGAATTGCGTGTGCATTAAACAAATGCATATTACACAGGATAATTTAATGGAAAGATAAGAGAGGGAAAATTCCTTGCTTTTTCATGCAATTATAACAATATGCGATTATCAATAGGTCTAGAATGATATGTATCTATTTCTTCTTTCGAAATTTATGTTCTTAATCTTGAAATCAAAGAAAAATGCGAATAGAAAGGCTTATTTGAACGACGACTATTTCGAGTCATACAATGATCGGTTAAAAAACCATCCTTAGAAATATACTCGATTTTAAAGTATCCTGCGTAAAGCGAATGGACAAAAATTCATACGAAATTATGAAATATTGCACATTAGAAAATGCACACAGTATATGATATACTTCTCTCGATCGACACACTCACACGCAAATCCAAAGAAGAAGGAAAGAGCTTCAGGTTTCTATCTTTTAGGCGAGCAAGGAGGAACGTTTCATGTATAATTCGATTCATTCTCTCATCGGCGATCGAGAATCGCTATATGTGTAACAACTTATAGGCCAAAAGGATAGGTGGTTTTATTTCTTCCTTTTTTTCTAGGCGGGCGACCGCGTATCTCCTCGTGATATAATATAATCTACGTAGCTGCCCACTAACGTACTTTAATTCTCTTGCGTGTCCTGGAATGCGTATGCAATTTCGTCCTTCGTAAAAGAAAGGAGAAACTGCGCGCATCTCATCGCGACGAAACACGAAGGAGCTCGAACTGTATTTATAAAAATCAAATTCATAACTCTCGTCAAAAGAAAGCTACACCATATCATGGCGGACGAGCAATGGCGTGAATTTATTCATCACATTCTGTTCTCTCAAACAGATATTATTTACCTAATTTGCGAATGTCTCGTATATCGAATGTTCGTTTAAATTCCATTCCGGCATCAGTTGGCACCGGAATGAATATTTACATTTATACGCGTGACTTCTTCCGATAACGTAAGCAAGCAAACGCTCTCTCCATCGGTGCAGCATCGGTAGGTGTTCTGAATACAACAGTGAAGCCAATAGATGGAAAAATTTGATATGCTAAAAGTACACGCACTAACGGCAACTCGGTCTACAGGATTGCTAGATTTCCTAAATAAAAAAATTTCGGAGAGAGGCAAATGCTGAAGAAACATCGTCGATCAGTTACGCACCAAGATGCCTCCTTAGCGTCGAGCATTACGTCATTCCCCTGGGTCATCCCATTTCGCTTCCTCGGCTATTCGATCGAAGCAATCCGAAAGGAACGTATACTGCAAGTATAGGAGTATAAGATCAGCAAAATATATGGATGACGTGTGAATGTTTCACGGATATCGCTAAGAAAGTAACGCTCGTGACTCACGTAAGGTGTGAAGACCTTGAGCCAGCGCGGCGGACGATTGTCCTGGCGCGTGTACTGGAAGCAGAACGCCATCCCATCCTCGTCCACCTCCCATCGGGCGATCGTGCTCCATTGAAACTCCACCACCTGCGACTCCAGAGTACCGTCCTCCTTTGCGGCGTGCAGCTTAAAAGCGGCTGTACCTACCGCCGGTACCACGTGGCCCTCCTTCCTCGAGTCGCATGGACAATGCGGGAACACGATGTCACCGTAACCGCTGAGTTCCCTCGCCAGTTTTAGATACTGCGACATACAATCTCACGTCAAGACAACGATGTATTGAAAATATGCAGAATACTTCAGCGGTACATTCTCTGGATAATTTATCTTGGAAATGTCGAGTAATCATCATTCGCCATTTACCTGTCCTTGACACCATACTAAGGACTCCAAAATAAGATTCCCTGTTCTATTACAATTTTTATTTACAATTTATGCACAAATTGGACTTGTGTTAGAATAGGGGCTAATGACTAATTTCAATATAGTTTCCAAGAAGATTGATGGACTTGTCGCATTTTGGCGTCAGTTTGAAGATTTTCTCTCGGTAGAAACTCATTATTGAACAGCATTTTGTACTGCTCCATCAAGAAGCCAATTCGAAGAAAGAAATATAGACTTCTCTAGAGAAGTTCAAGACTCTTTTTTATGAATTTTCCTCAAGGTAATGCCAGACCTCACTTTGTACATTAAATTCAGAAACTTTCGTATTATTAATTTAATTGTTTTAAACGTTATGTAGCTTCCTGCAGCCTATAGTTTGGATCTCCTTTCAATTTTCATTTGTTTGATAGAATCATTGAAGAAATATTTTAAAGAAGGACGAATTCCAGATGACGACACAAAATGATGTTCAAGAATAGTTCAGACATCAAGAGCATCGAGTTTTTACCAAAAAGGAATCTTTATTCGTATCAAGATAGGACAATCTTCTTAGAAACTATATTGAAAGTAGACATTGAATTTTCAACTTGAATTTTCACACAATAAATTCGATTTGTGCAAATTATAAATAAAAGTAATGCTAAAACAGGGAACCTTACTTTTCGATTCATTCAGTAAGCTTACTAAAATTTAAATTCCAATTCTGTGAAAATAAATTAAAATTTAAAATTAATTGAAGAATAATTAAATAATTCAATAATTATTTAAAATTAATTGAAGAATATTGAAGAATTGAAAATTAGATTAATTTTCGTTTTTGAAGTTTGCAATAAAAGATTCTTATTTTAAATCAATTACTATCAATTATTCAGAAACCATTGGCGCCTGGATAATTTCACGGAGAAAAGTCGATTCCAAATTGCCCAAAGAGAACATATCATTAAACTCTAAAGCGACAATACATAGATATCTTATACAAACAATTTCTTCCAGCTGAACAAACCTCGTGCTTTCTGGACGCATCCTGCAGAGCCTTCAACTGATACAATCTTTCGCCCGCGGTGATATGACCCCTGTTCACCTCGTCGATCGTTTGCCAGAATATCCAAGTCAACGCCTGCTCGCTCAGAGGCCTATTTACATTAAAAAGCCACCTCCTTATCGCTAGACACGTCGCGCTGGCAGTCGAGTAATTCTGAATGTATAAAGTATGCGGGTGTTCGTGAGGTTGCAGCTTCCGCTCTGAAGAATAATAAAATCACAAATAAGATGACATTCTAAATTTCACTCACTCATCCAAGTCACGATTACGTGTTTGCAAATATGTTCTTGAACAATCATCTTTAACTTACCAAAATTGTACTCGACAATCTCAAATAGGTAGAAGTACTTGGCCGTCTCCGCGTCTAAACCGACTCGGGAGCAAACCGCATCGTAAACGTCCTTTACTGACGCCGCTTTCGGGACAGTCACAGTGACGACTTCCCGATCCGGCAATAGAACTTTGAGATCGACTGCAGGTCCCTGATCCCCATCCTCCTCTAATCGATCGGTGAGAAACTCCTGCATCGCGTCGCTCTCCGCTATCACGCGCACCGCACATACTTTTTCCAAATACTGTTCGAGACCACGCCTCCTTGCATCGAGCTGTTGCTCGCTCAATCTGCAGATTGCAAACAAACCTTTAATAATTCATGATCCTATGAGGAAAAAGAGGTTTCAGCAATTAAATAATTTCTCACGGAGGGGTTCAAAGTGCAAGGAAAATTTACGATTGCACACAAAGTGTCAATGCTAAATAGGACTCGTTCTGTCTCTGAATCTTACTGGCCAACGCCTTGAATTAGGATCACAACATTCTAACCAACTGGTAAAAAAGTACTACAAATAAAAAATATGAAAAAATCCTTGGGGTCCTCTTGAAAAGAGCTCAAAAACAGAGACAAAGAACAATTTTTCAAACATTTCCGATTCGTGATATGTGCGTTCAAGGATGGCAACGAACTTAGGATTCATTCATTATCATCGATATCTAAACGCGTTTGCATGTAATATTATTGTATAATTCGAGGATATTTACTGGAACGGCCATTTTCCTGGTAGCTTTGGGAAATTGAAGCCTATGAACTCCTTCTTCAGTGCCATGTGCAATGCCGCGAATTCCCGATATCGACGCGAACACAAGTGCCTGCCGGCCATATGGACGTTGAAGACTACGTAACGCTCATGTTTCCTCTCACGTACGTGATAATCGGGCACGCTGATCGGCAGAGATCGCTTCTCGCTATAATCTACCGACGCATAGCTGAAGAAGATGTGAAGATGCGTTTAATATATCAAATATTCAAATATTCAAACATTCAAATATTTTTATATATTATGTCTATATATATTTTATATTCTTAAAAATATATTTTTTTAAACATATATATATCTATACTTATTTGAAAAATTAATTTATTATAATTTAATTATAATTATTAAAAATTAATTTATTACATTTATTAAATTTTACTTAATACGTATTAATATTTAATAAAGTCTGCATCTAGATTTTGATTGAACGCAATTTAGATAAATACGATTTTATTGGAATAATCAAAGATTATTGTAACACTTTGAGGATCTCATCGATGAAATAATCACTCATCTCTGTTTGATTGCGCTATAAATTAAATGCAAAATCCGAAAATCATATCACACACCTCAAATCCTCGCAGGGCTCCAGCCTCTCCGCTTCCTGCGGCGTCACGGAGATGACAGTCAAGGTGAGAACATCGCCGCCAGATTTGATGAGATCCACCACCTGCTTGTGAGTGGCACCTTCGACGCTGACGTTATTCCTGCAAACAGAAGCGATACGGTTTTTGCGTCACAGTATAATAATCGCCGAAGTATAATTCGAACCGACTTTAATCGCGACTGGGGCACACCCGTTGGATTCCATCGTCTGCGATTCTCGATCCACTCGCATTGCAACGCGGTCATGTAACACGTCAACATATTCGTGCGTGGATCTTATCAGCTCGCGAGCTAATCTGCAAACAGGCGCGGCAATTCGCGCCAACTGTTTCGTTTCCACGAACGATCGATCGCGAGAGGAGAGAAATTCGCGCGCGGGAAAGTCGCGCGATGATTTTCGCTTCGACACATCCGGCTCCACGATCCGGTTCGCGACAAGGAGGCCTTCGACGAGTCTGGTCGCGGTCCCCCGATCGTTTGTTCAACCAGTCGAAAGGGAATAGGATATCGTACAATCGCGGCCTTTTGCTCCGTTTTTTCTTTTCTCCTTTTTTTTTTTACGACACGAGTTTCGAATTCCGACGGTGAAAGGACACGGTCAGGCGATTGGTCCGGAACACGGGGGCACGGCTCTCTCGGCGGAGATCGGCAAATGTCGCCTATCACGGATTTTCACATCTGCGTGCGAGATAAGACGCGTGGCGCTTTATATCCCGTTTTATTCCCTATCGCGTGTACCGGGTGGACTCGAATCATATATGACATCTCCGAACCACATATATAGGCACCAAAGCTTTCAATCGAGGCGACTACTTGTCGTTAGAAATATAAAAAATTTGTTTTTCTTTTCTAATAGAAAACAAACGTTTGAACGAAACAAATTTATTTCTTCATTCGTTTAATACAATATTATGTTTCTCCATATTTTTTTGCTATAGAATATAATAAAAAAGAGTTCCTCCAAAGTTCTTATATTTTTAATTTATCTTTTTGGAAAGTAATTTTAATAAAAATTTATTTTAATAAATTTTTATTTTAATAAATTAATATTAACAACTATAAAGAAAAATTATAACATAATTTTCGGATAATTTTCAGTTAGATGTATAAGAAAAATTTTTATTATGTATAATTTTAATTTTAATTGAAAATTATCTGAATTTAGTCATATATGATATTATAATCGTAAACATCTCATTAATCCATTCCTTTTGGAAAAGAAATATACGAACTATAATCTTTTTCATTATATTAAAATAGTGACTAAAGTATTTTTACAAATGACAAATTATGTTTTTGTATCTATAATAAAGATAATTGATTCAAACTCAATTTTAATTCCTGTATAAAAAATTTATCTAATTAAAAAATAATTATATAACTATATAGGCAAATGGGATTTATATTTAAAATAATAGTGATTAGTTCAAATCTATCAATTAAAAGGTCAAAAATAATGGAACATCAATTTGTAATTATTAAAAAGATATATATAAAAACAAAATTTTAAAAAGAAACCGAAGCTTGTTATTTTTTTCATCACACTTTAAGGAAAATCATACTTTAAGAAGAAATATTTTGTTCTTTCTTATTTAATCTCTACTTGTCATATGACATAATTTTAAATCAAAATCTAAAGATATGTGTAATTTTATACATTTTTCAAACATCGTATCTTTTTTTCTTTCTAATTATTTTTGCTAAATATTGTCGGAGGAGTAGATGAGGTCAGAGTTCAATTAGATCGTAATGCAAAAAGGAGGATGAATGGGCGATTCAACGTTCGACGCTGAAATCAATTACATGTATCAAAGCCATGGCAAAGATGCGAAACGCACTGCACTCGTTGAATGCAAACTTTCCTCTCTATGACGTATACATCAAATTATCTGCTATATATAACACAGCTTACACAGAATTATTTCGTTATCTAATGAAATTAGATCGGCAGATGAGGGGTGAAGCGTCAATAAACGGCACCGCGTGTGCACTGTAATCTGTTAACAGAAGATAATGCGCTTTTTATGAGCGAAATTCATGAGATCGTAATATTATAATAATTTGAATACGTGACACAGGAAGGTAAAAAGAGAGAGAGAGAGAGAGAGAGAGAGAGAGAGAGAGAGAGAGAGAGAGGAAGGGAGGGAGGGAGAGGGATAATACGCAGTTCGCTTCCTTTGTTCGAAATTCTCATTCACAAAGTACGGCCGAACCCGCTAATTACGTCTAATTGGGACAACAAAACTATATAGAACTTATAATGATTTGCACCTACGTTAATGGCGCCCTTAATGATCAACGCAACTCTCTGACTGCTCATTTAGTCGAATGCAATAAGCGGCTTCTTTATATAATATTCACACTTATCGTTGCTCGTTAAGCCTTCTTCTTCACAGAGATCTTAGCTTCAACTACACTTTATCCAGTTTAATTTATAATTTCCGAATTAAATTACGTGCTCCCCCTTTTTACGGCCGAAAATAACTTCTCTTCGTATTCTTGAAAAACATGTTTCACCACAAAGAATCTGCGCAAATATATATAATGCATATAATAATTTTCTAACTACAGAAAGAAAGAAACCATATAAAAAGTAAGCCTCTCAATAACATTATAACACAAGTGTAACATAAGAAAGGAAGGAATATGCATAAGTAATAAAAAAAAACGTATAACATGCGATTGCGATTTTCTTACGCAAGTATATTTAGCTTGGAAAGTTAAATGCAGAAATAAAAAGATTATTGACCCACAAATTTCGAAGTGAAGAAACGACAGTGTTGACATTTCAGCGGGGACTTGTGGAATCGTTATTTCATCTCAACAGGTGACGTAGCAAGTAACGGCAGCGATCGGTGTCGCTGCAGGAACCGCAAAACTGGCCTGAAGTGAAAGGTAAAGGAAAAGTCTCGATTGATCTCTCACAGAACGAGAAGAGAAGAACTAAGCTGGAGTGAAAAAAAAAATTTACGAATTGTGCGTATGGAGAAAAAATGACGAATATAATAAAAATCTCTCGCGATCCTGAGGAACTGGCTCGGGAAAACGAAGCTGTGAAATCGACGAACGCCACGAAGCGAACCAGACGGTCCTTGAACCGTGCAAGGTTTATGGGAACCTTGGACCTGCGACTCGCACGCACGTATTTACAGTTGCAAACAGACTTCATCCCCGGCCACACACTATCACAAATAGAAGCGGAGCTGTTCGTGAGAGAGATGCTTGCGATACATCGATTGCATCAACATCATTAGATTTTATTGTGGTATTGTTACTCTTTTTTCCAATCGTTAAATCTCATCAATATGTCCAATCGTTATCTCATTGGTATCAAAATATATTATATTCATGCCTGAAGCACATGGATTAATGTTGACGTCAAAAATTCGATTCGTGCCATTCCTAGATATTTTCGAACACATATATATTTTGTATATATTTTTATTATACGTGTCACTTTCGGTTTTATGATTTCTATGATGATCGAAATATCATGACTTAAATTTGTTGGAAATAGCTATTGCATATATATAATATGTACATCATTAAATACTCTCTATACAGTAAATTCAAGTAGAACAAAGCGACAATGTTATAAGCAAATTAGCTTTTAATTAAACAGTTTGGAGAACACAATTACCGCGTACGAGGTACGGTGCCGGGTGGTTAATGATCAGGTATGCAAATCCAAGGGCGTTAACGATCACATCGACGAAAATTGCGAATGCTCAATCAGATAATGGGCTAGCTAACAGTTAATTGGCGATGATAAAGATAATGGACAATCGTAGCGTTTATCATAAGTGAACATCAACGATCCTTTCAAACATTAAAACGAGAAATAACTTTGAAGCATAAATTCATTATCAAATCAGATCAAGATAATCGTTTAAAAATAATAATGGATGAAACTCGGGGATATTATACCTTATCCTTTCGTTCGGCGAGAGCAAATGATAGAGAGAAACTCGAAATTCAAATAATCAATTGTGTGTTATGTGTGTATGTGACTATAGAGACCGGTTTAAGCAAGCACGACAGATTTTGCATCATTTTTTTAGTTGAGCATGTTTGTCGCGTTGTATAAACTTTATTGTTTTTATATCAGAATTTTTACTCGAGCGAAAGCTCTCTCTCTCTCTCTCTCTCTCTCTCTCTCTCTCTCTCTCTCTCTCTCATGCGCGTACATATTGAAATTTATTTTCTTAGACTTCATGTTTTAATAATAATTAGCGTGATTATTTCTTTATTACTCCAATTATATTACCAATAACTCTCCTAAAATTTATATATATTATACTTAAAAAAATTTTTTTTCACATTTTTTAAGTGATTTTTTTTACTTTCACCTATTTATTTATTTTTGCGTGATTATTAATCTATATTATTAATTTATGATATATTATATGCATTGCATTATTGAAAGCCTCAGTTATTTATTGTAAAAATTCCAATCAGCTGATATCTGTCAGTTAGCGCTGAGCACAATAAAACAATCGATATCAATTAATTATTATAATACAGGATCTTTATTAAAAAAAAACCCATAGATTATAATATCTCATAGATTATAATATCTCATCAGAGCTATAATCCTGAAGAGCCACAATCGAAAACAGAGTTAGCGGTTGTAACTAATCCGCATGAATATGCATATAACTACCGCGTGATTAAGCTATTTCTGTAGCCATGTAAATAAATGCGGACTTTGTATGTGTATGTACAATGTTGTAGAGTGGTGTGTTATTTCAATTGTTAAACGGAAAAGCAAAGTCCAGATCCATTCATTATCGTCGTATTTTGAAAGTCGTATTCAAATATTTTTGAGGAGAATCGCGAAGGTGTTTTTACGTGTTTACGACATTTTGGAGGAAAAATATATGACATTAGCGTCGAAATTGCTAGGCAGGGCATTTTCTCAAATAAAAATTTCATATTTAAGAATATAGATTGTACTTGTGTTTAAAATCGTTGAAACATTTTTCGTCGATAATTCCGATAAAATAAAACGTTAAGTAATGTTATATTAAAAAAATCGCATTAAGTCTCTTTCCTTGAAAATCTCGATAATGCGGAATAAACGCGTGCATGGCTCCTTTGAAAATGCCAAGAATGTTCGACGATTTACAGGGAAACAAGAAACGTCATAATGTTGATTATGAGTAATACAATAATAACAGAATCTCGATCTATAATTACTCGTCATATCTAGAGAGCGCGGAATTTAAATTCCTCACTTTGAATCACTCGTCTATCAATCTATCAATCTACGTCGCCTCTCCAGTCCTCAAGACCCTTTCTACGTGTCATTCTTACTCGTGTAAGCTGCGAGACGTATCAAGGCCGAATCTCGCGCCTCGACGTGTTCGCCATCCAATTATACGAATGCCTCGTCGCAATTGTTGGCGCACAGCCCGAAACGATCGAGGATCATCACGCCAGAACGCATTCGGGGCCTAAGGGCGCTCCGAAGTGACAAGAACGAGATTGGGGGATGAAACAATGACACGAGGACACGATTCTCCATCTACTCACACTTCCAGGATGCGGTCGCCCTTGCGGACCCCGGCCTTCTCGGCGGCGCCTCGCGGCAGAACCGCGCTGACGTGCTGAAGCGGCGCGTACAGCTCGCCATTGATGCTCCGCAGCTGTCCACCCTCGCTGACCTGGCCGCGTACGTTGAACCCGAAGCCCGTCTCCGTCTTGTAGATGGTCACGCATCGCGGACCCTGGCCGACCGGGTCCGGACGGTCCTGGCCCGGGGGATGCTGCGGCACCCGCGCGGCGTTGTTGTTCACCATCGTCACGCTCGTCGTATTCCTCGCGCTACGATCGTCCTGGTTCGTGGCTGGCAAGCGGTGCACCTCCGACTCGCAATCCGCCATCTTGCACTCTGGCCGCCCATTCACGGCGACCGCTACTGCTACGCGCCGTTCTAGGGATGAATCCTCGATTCGCCGCGACTCTCGTATCGAGGTAATCTCGAACGTTGTTGGAGCCAAAGCAAACCAGTTGGACGACACGTTCAACTATCGATACCGGGATTTTCCTCGGGATTGGACATTTACCGGTAAACTGTAATAATAGTTTACGTCTGCGTGTAAGATAAGTAAATTATATTGTAAATTATGTCAACAAGTAGTAATCTATGAAATATCGGCTTATCGAAATTGTTTCCTCTATGTTGCCCGACTGATCATTCGTTTCGTTCCCCTAGCGAAGTGGACGTAGGAGTGGGGATATCTATTCTACGTTTACATGAATGTTTCTGTATGGTTTCTATTCCTATATTCGCCTCTCTAGGGGAAATAAATCATTGACAGACAGTATATATAATTTAACGATACAAATGTAATCTTTTATGATGTCACGAAAAATCAAAGATAAGAAAAGATATAAAATAGATATAAGATTTTAATTAACATTTTATTTTACAATTTAATTATTGTTTTTGCATTCTGATATTTAATTTATAATAGTTTACATAGTTTATATTTAAAAAATCCAACATCATGTAAACAATATCTAAACAATTCATGTAAACGTAATTTAAAATCTTCAATATTAATTTTGAATATATGCTGTGAAACAGCGATAAAAAATAAAAAAAATATATTTTATCGACAGAATACGCCTTTAATAGCATTATTAACATCAGCAATAGTATAATTAACTTAAAATTCAACTTTTCTTTAATTTTTGAATCTATCTCAGTAAAAAATCTGCTTAATCGGTCGAGATTTTTCAAACTTCTGAGAGACATTATTTTACTTCTGTCAGAAAAGATCGAGAAAAATCATAATTTTCTTTTATTTTTTTCAAGTTTTTTAAATAAATAAAAAAAATTTCTCAAATTCATTCATGATGATATCGATATATTGCTGTAAAACAATGTAGATGTCGTCTCGTATATGAAATCGCTGTAAAATATCATCTTGCCGCCTTTCATCTTTTGCGGTCATTGATCTTCGCCGCCTCTGTCGGTAGCGCAGCTGAAGCCGACAGATGGAGTCGGTCTGTTATGAAAATCACTGCTGACAGAATTGCTGATAGCCACCAAGAATGTGCTGCCACCAGTTATTTGAGTTCCCGATCTAATTGTGAATTATTCATCAGACGCGCACACAATGCGAGATTTAATTTATTTTTTATCATTCTCGACTGTTCGTTGCACGTCCATTTAAATAATAATAGAAACACGTGACGACAATAAGATGTTAATGAGATAGTCACGAATGTCGTTCTTGTTTTCGTTTTTTCAGAACAAGATACCCATTATGCTAGAAATATTTTTATAATCACGCATTTTCATCTTTTTTTTATTGATGCTGAAGTAATTTTTATTTATAAAAATTTTCTAAAATAATATGATAAAATAATACGATAAAATAATCGAACAGCAATTCTCATGATTGAATTATCGACAAGTTATATGGCTCCCTTTATTATGTCGGTCAAAGAATCGTTCCGTTATTTTTTAAAGCTCGATGAAATTATATTATTTACAAAGTAAAGCAAATTTATTATATTACTTACAAAGTAAAGCAAATTTATTATATTATTTACAAAGTAAGACAAATTTTACTATTTTAAGAGTACAAAAATCTTTTTGTGCATGCATATATTGATCACACAATCATTTCAAATATTTATTTATAAAATAAATAATAAATGGATTTTATTATATAATGAAATAATCTAAATATTTGTCGCTTAAATTCCATAAAATAATGTTTACACACCATACCTGGTGGTTTACCTTAATTTCGATCGCACACGTACATCCGCGATATTTAATTTCCGTCACGCAATTCATATGTTACACAGGTATAAAGGATTTAATCTCCGTTCTCTACCTTATGTTACTTTGGTTTTATTTACAGTTCTTCGTATGTAATTATCTTATCTAAAAACACATTATGAAATAACAAGGCAGATTTCGTTTTAAAGATAAACACACTTTTTTTCCTACGTAATATATAGATATACAACTTGTATGTGTTCAGGAAAAGGATTTGAAAAGGATTTTAAGGAAATGAGAGGAAGAAATGGAGAAAGAAATAAAATTTCTCTCTCTAATATTAGTGCAATATTGCATTAATTAATAATATTGCTGCAATATTCTGTATTGTATAGGATCTCTTATTTCCCCTGTGCCCTTCCATTTTACATTTTACCACGCAAATTAATTTCACGTGTTAATCGTCGTCGATGTATTACACCTATGATTAATATCAATTATTAATTAAGGGCCGCAACCGTTTATTATCCTGTTTCAGTGTCGCAACATCAGCGAAGTGAAGCGGAAAGATAAGTTATATATCGCTCATAGTCTCTCTTTACAAACTGTAACAGCCAAAGTGACGTTAACGACATCACGATATTACATCCTTGTGCGAGAGAATATTATTACGTAGGATGGTGTGTGTATGTGTGTGTGTGTGTGTGTATGTGTGTGCTTGTGCTGCAACGGAAGTGGCATTGCATCAAGTGCAGAGGTGACATGGAAATTTGCTCGCATTTTACCCCCTACACACGTAAAAAGTGAAGCGCAGTTACAAGGGTTAAAAGAGTCGACGTGCGTTCTGTCATTCGTGTATATCATACAAATATAATTGTTGCATAGCATTAGAGAAAGAGATTCCATTTCTCTCTTTCTCTCTCTCTCTCTCTCTCTCTCTCTCTCTCTCGAATTATACAGTAACAAGCTTTAATCAAGCCGCGCTTCTTTTACGCCAAACTATTTTTTATTTACAAACTTTCAGAGAGAGAGAGAGAGAGAGAGAGGGAGAGAGAGAGAGAGAGATGATATGAAAATATTTTCTCATCTGCAAAAACTTTCTATATTTTCTCGGTATAAAATAAATTCGATACTTTTCTCTTCCCTTCCCCCCCCCTCTCCTCCGTTTCGCTATACTTGTCCCTCTCCATTTTCAGGTCTGTCAAATTTCGACGAGAAATGGTTCGGATAAACTGGAGAAACAATGAAAGTGAGAGAGGGGAAGAGGGGGAGGAGAGGTTGGACATTCGCGTTGAGGAAACCGACCGTGGCCTTTCACCTGCAGGAAATCCCATGATTGATGCCACATGGCGCAATGTTACTACTGCATTATATGCACGCGCACACATTGTATGCACTCCCCGATAACTACGGGGCGAATGCATACTGCAATAACTCGATATGTAAACCGATGACGTACAGTGCGTCCTGATGAAGGGGTGCCCTAAACGCGTTTACGACGCACTTCGTCAACACGGACATTCCGCAACACGTTTCAACGATACGGTATCCTCGCGCAAGGAAACGCAATAATTGACCGAAGAAGGCGTTTCCGTGCTTTCTCCCTCCCCTTCTATCTCACGCTGTCAATATTTACGACATAGTTTTTTACGACGTCGTTTCTTTCCCCTTTTTTTCCCGCGCAAACTTATTCGGGTGTAAAATTTTACGGATGTAGGTCCTCCGAAAATCAAACGCATTTTCGCGTCTTTCTTAATTAAAAAATTAATTTATATTTCAACACACAAACATTTCAATAAATAAATTTCCTTAGCTACTTATTATCGCTTGTGCCGTGAACTTTATGATTGCAGCAATGAAGAATTTCTTAATTAAAATCTGGATAATTTATTCGGACGCAAATATTTTATGATAATTTATATCCTCCAAACACGCGGGGCGTAAAATGTTAATTGTGCATTTCTCTCGGATATCGAGACATCGAGAAATGCGTATTCATTGATCACTGAAAAAAATATGGATATAATTAAACACTTCACCCTCTCCTTTAAATCGAAGTGCGCGCGAATCACGGCTGCTTAGGAGATTTCTGCGTCGGAGACACTCGAAGCAGAGATCGATCATAATCCAATACTTTAAACGGAAATTCAATAATCGTAACCTCGCGACGAATCGAACAGCAACACATCCCATTTACATGGATTATCCTCGCGATTTCTCGGGAGAAGCGTCGTGTCGATGTCGCGCGGTTAATGACGCACACGCACGTTTGACATTTCGGGCCGACTCCGATCTGCGAGTCAGCTGATCGCTTTCGCGATGCGACGAGTCTCTCCCTCGGCGAAGGCGCGACGCCGAATTTCAAAGCGTCCTGACGTCGTCGCCTCGTTCTCGCACACGTCCAGCTGCATCCGGAGCATCCGCCCACAGGCGCACACGTGACGCGGGGACGTATCCGCGCGACGACGCGGCGCGGCGCGTCGCGACGCCGCGCGCGCGTCGCCACTGCTGCAGAACGGCCGTATAACGTAGAGAAAGTCAGTCCCGACGTTGGCGCTGCAACAGACGTATAGGACGGGCCTCCTTGTAAAAGCCGCCCTCGCTTCTCCCACCCTCCTCCGGTACCATCCGCGATAATATTCCGATTATCAGTCGCGCGGAGGATCTGCAGGAGAAAGAGAAAAAATAAATAAATACTGGAAGCGTCCACATCGCGTTCTCTTTCGTGGAGCGAGGAAATATTTGAAGGGACGAGGAAGAGATTTTTATTTCAACGGAGTGAGATTGATCCACCCCGGTCGAGTGAAGTTAACGAAGAGAGGGGGGGTAAAATCATTTACTTCTGGAGTGATCAACGACGAAGGAAGCGGGTCGGTGCACGCGGTGCCTTTCTCTTTCGTTTTTCGCGCGGGTCTGTTTCGTCAGTTTCCGGTCCCGCCCCTACCTGGGTGACTCCGTCAGACTTCCGATCTCCCGCGGAGGATCCATCGAGACGTTCCAAAGTGGCCGGGTGACAGCCTCTCTTCCTGCTTGTCGCGGATGCATCGTATATCCTCGTCGCAGCACGTCCCGACAGCCAACATGTTTTCGTCCTCGAGGGCTTTCCCGCCGATTCTTGTCGTGGCGCTCGTCGTCTGCATCGGTGAGTGCGTTAGAATCACCTCGCTTCGATTAAGTGTTAAAGCACTGCTGAAGAAATCGGTGTCTCTATTGAAGATTAATGCAGAATGGAGAGGACTATATAGCTTCTTTTATTCGCGCGAGAAGAATACATAGCTTCTTTTCGTCGCGTGAGAAGAATATATAACTTCTTTTACTCGTCTCGCGAGAAGAAGCGATCGTAGAAGTGATGTAGTTGCTTGTACGAGATTCAGGTGAAATGAAGCTTTGACCCGAAATTACGTGATGTGGATCTCTTCAGAAGGGGAAGAAGGGAGGGATGGGAAGAGAATCGTAAAGTATGTGCGATGTAATATTTGAACGCCAGAAACAAACGAATGACACGAAGAATTTTAATTTTATCGCCGATTGAAATGTTTGCGCGAAAATATCAATAGTTTCGCGGCGATAGAAAAAAAAACAAGGAGATTCTCTCAGAAATAAAATCTCGACTCTTTTCAACTCTGTGTTGCAAATTACTCGGAATAAAACTTTAAAAAAAGATTACCGCAAGTGCACCAGTAGTAATTATACCGTAGTAGAAGCGAGGCAAGATCGATCATTGCTTCGCAAAATCATCCCAAATTGCTCAATTAGCAAGTAATTAACACGATTCTACATATTGCACATAATTCGTTCGCCGGAAATCATCGCGCTGTCATCATTTGACAAGAGTTTGTTCGACGAGGCACATTTAATTATTTGAGTAACTGAAAACTGTTGCCAAATTTTTTTTATTATTTTTATGCGAATGTACAATTTCGAGATCATATAATATTGACTCTTATTGACGAATATTGACTCTTTAGAGGATCATTAATTATCGCGAATGGTACAAGAATAATGCACGATTCGCGAATAAATTGAGTTTTTCTTAAATCAGTTCAGAGAAGGTCTCTTTCTTTATTATATAATAATAGAAATCCATTTTAATTCAATTAATTAATGATCCAAGTGCCAGGAAAAAGTACGACTTTGTTCGAAATAAATATAATTTTTTATCCTGAACATTTGCCGATCCATTAGATAATTTCAAATTAAACGAAGTCTATTACGAGGGCGATTTTTTGTCACATGACATTTTAACGAGAAAAATGGCGACGGCTCGTTAAGAAGGAGAATTCAAGAACACGATTGTCATGCGACATTTATCGGAATCTCTTTACTTTCCCGATAACGCGGGCGATTATTCCGTTCTTTAATGGAATCAACGCAGGACTGGACGCTAGAGATCATAGCTAATTAAATTTTCAACTGTCTCACATAAGCGAGAACTCGAGACGTTGGGACGTTGCGGATGAAATTAGCGAGAAAGTACGCGACTGACAGCAAATTCAGTGATTCCATCTGACAGCAGAATCGCTGAAGATATTTGAAGTAAATATGTATACATATTATATACATATTATATATGTATATTTCAAATTTATGTGTGCAAGGAATTTTTTAAATTTGAAAAAGTGATAAAGAGAATAAAAATATTAAGCAAGTAAAAAATGTTTATCTTACGGAAGCTATTACATTTTTTACAGTATACAAAACTAGCATTTGAAACTTAAATGATTCTGTGCTTTTTTTCCTATGAGTGAAAAGGATTCGAAAAGGCATACAATAAAAAAATTTTATTTTAAAAAATTATTTTAAAAAATCTTTACCTGAAATTTTAAACAAAAATATCTAGAAGATCAAGGAATATTCAAAAAATCTTTTACTAGACTTATAAATACAAACATGTATGTAAGTCGAATTGATGGTGATTATTTTTTGACAGAGGTATGATTCTTACTTGTAATAAAATCAAAATCACTTGCTTTTAATGCTCTTCTATATTTTTTTGAATGAAAACGCTATAGGATATAAACGTAGGAATTATTTCGAAATATACAAGTCCTTAAGAAATATGTAAAAAAGTATGATTCCCGCTTATAATAAAATCGGAGATTGTTTTTAATACCTTTCTATATTTTTTAAAATAAAAACACTATGGAATATAAATGTAGGAAATTTCGCAATATATACGATTCCTTAAGAAATATATTCTTGCATCCTCTTGATCGATCTCATAATGGGGGGATTATGCGCATACACTTTCGTGCATATCGATGATCGTTTTACGCGGATTATAGCTCCGACGAAATTAGTATATTTCAGAAAAGATATTCTATTCTCTATACATTCAATGCTTGTCGATTCAATCCCTCATTAATAATATATAATCTCATCTGGACAAAACGATTTTTCTTGAGTATTACATTCACTTGCTGCAGCTGAAATCCGACGATGAAAAGTACGTCGAGGATTAGCGCGATTATACCGTTGGATTACAACGCGAGAAAAGTTAGATCTTCCGGAATTGGATGAGCGCGAATTGTAATTTCTTCAGTCAGTACAAAGATGTGTGTTTGCGCCGAACTTCCGCAGAAGAAGCTATGTTAGATCGAGATTTCAGATCAATCAATGGCAAAGTATATCGATTTCTCTATCAAAGAATCTTTCTGCAAGTTTAATTAAAATTAACTTTTATTCTCTTTGAATTTGAAATTTTTTAAAATTATAGTTAACAGAGTATTTATTCTCTGGAAAACTTGGAATTCTAAAAAATTGTTTTGTATCTGAAAAAATCAGAGAGTTCTCGTAGAATTTAATTGAAGTTCCGGAAATTTTTTAAAAAATTCTCTCTCTCTCTCTCTCTCTCTTTGATAGTTTGGTTATCATATTGTAAATAATCGACAAGTCAAGTGAATTATACGTTTTAAATATATTTAATAAATATATATTTACTTCTGCTTATGTATTCAATTTCATAACAAAGTCTTATTTTAAAAAAAGTAGCACTAAAAAATTAAAAAAAAAATATATATATATATATATATTCTCTTTACTTGGAATTTTGAGACACAATTCAAATTTTTTTGTCAAGACATTTTAACAAAAAAATATCTGAAAAATCAAGGATATTCAGGAGGAATATTCAGGAATTTTTTACAAGATTTAAATACACATATGTATATATATTGCATAAGTCAAATTAATGATGATAAGATTGCTTTGCTAAAGAACTTTCTGCGTTATTTAAAACTAATTGTAAGATGACTAATATTTAATTCCCTAATCTGATTAAAATTAATGATGTATTTTTCCTTGGAAAAACATAGAAAATATAGAATTTTTTTGTATATCTGAAAAAATCAGGGAATCCTTATGGAATTTTATTCAAGAAAATTGTTTAAAAAATTCTCTTTTTGATCATTTTGCTCTCATGTTGTAAACAGGTCAAATAAATTATACATTTTAACAATATCTAATAAATAAATAAATAAATGTATATATATATATATATATATATATATATATATATATACATTTATTTATTTATTAGATATTTTAAAAATTTCAAATAAAAATAATATTTTAAAGATTTTTAATATGACTTTCTAAAATAAGATTTTTTTATTGTATGCGTTTTTTAATGCACTTTTATTTATGCAAAAAAAACATAGAACATTAAATTTCAAATACTAGATTTGCAAGTGTATTGAAAAACATTAAATAACTTTCATAAAATAAACATTTTTTACTTGCAAACATTTTTATTATTATTAAAAATTTCAATAAAGGATATGTATTTATATTCAATATTTTGTAAAAAAAATTGAATATATGAACAGAAACATATATATATATATATATATATATATATATATATATATATAAACATATATATATACATATATGTTTCTGTTTATATATTCAATTCATATATTCAATTTTTTTATAAAATATTGAATATAAATACATATTCTTTATTGAAATTTTTAGTAATAATAAAAATGTTTGCAAGTAAAAAATGTTTATTTTATGAAAGTTATTCAATGTTTTTCAATACACTTGCAAATCTAGTATTTGAAATTTAACGCTCTATGTTTTTTTTGCATAAATGAAAGTGCATTAGAAAACGCATGCAATAAAAAAAATCTTATTTTAGAAAGTCATATTAAATATCTTTAAAAATTATTATTTTTATTTTTATTTGAAATTTTTAAACAAAAGTATACCTGATCAAAGAATATTCAGGGACTTTTTAACAAGATTTGAGTAAACACACACATATACTGTAAAGTTGAATTAACGGTGATAAGATTGCTCTTGCCTTTCTCACAAGCATTACTTAAAATTAAAATTGAGAGGCTTAATTCTTCAATTTAATTGAATTAAGTTATACTTGAATTAAGTTAAACTTCAAATATAACATATTTTTAACAATATAACGAGAATATACTAGAAAACCTGTAAATAATCATAATCGATAAATTAAAGCTAGTGTGTCCATCATTCCCGGAGGCAATCACGTAATGGACGTGCCTTTTTTTGGGCATATTATCTAATAGAACAATGAATATATGGAACCATTTCCGACGAGGCTGATAATCTCGACATAGCGGGCCCTGGAGCTCTCTCTATTCAACAATAAAGCACGATATGGCGTTGTAAATATACAAGGGATGCGCAATCGTGAGCTTTTATCGCTTTATTACTTGGGACGTCCGCGCGAGGAATTACAAAATCGGATAAATCTGAACTAATCCTCGCCCGCCGGCGAACATAATCGCAAGACACTCCCCCATCATCACGAATACAATTGTTTGCCTTCCGCAAACGGGATCTTGTATTTAGATAGGACAATTCGTATCTTCTATGTATATTGAAGCGAGGGAATTATAAATGCGATCGTGACGAAAAATCTGATCAAAATAGCAATCTATTTCTCTAATCTTGTGTATCGTATAATGTGTGTAGGAGAAAAAAATCAATTTCAAAAATATATACGCGCACATAATATATAAATAGATTTCTGTCGCTTAATTATAGATATTGCTAGATGGGTTTTTGACGTTTGAATTATCACATTACTCCATTATCGTCAATAGTCAAAAAGCTTTCAAAAAACACGCGTATATTGAAACATAGCTTTTGCACTTTTAG